ATTGACAACAGCATCGAAGACATAGCATTTTATATAAATAGAGGGGTTACCCCTGGCCGATGGTACATGGAGAGGCGCGCCAAACACACAGGGGACAACAACAATGTAGATAGAGCCTTCTACCTAAAAAAAATGCCACACGCAGAAGGAAAAAACAAAAACAACAAGCACAACCATAGTAGCGGCCTTCGCGACATGGCCGCAAGGATTCAAACCAATAACCCTATTCCATCATCATGATCCTTTCTGAACAGTTTCAACGCAGCCTTCATGCCGTCAAATATTCTTGCAGGTGCAATTTCAATCGCAAAATCAAATCCGAAAGAACGCCGAAACAAGCCAAAACCAAAAACCAACCAAAAAAAACAATTCCGGATCCACAAACCCGCATACATCTGTCACTAAACCGCCGTTGCCCGTGGTTTCCATCCCCGCTGGGCGATGCATCCTTCTCTGGAAATTATCTCAAACCGTCAACAGCACAGAACCATTCTCAGACAAATACCAAACAAGCGGCAGCGCTGCATCAGAAAAACATCGGAATGGGGACGGACAATTCTGAGGAAAACAGCTTCAAAGAGTAGGCACAAAAACTCAAACGAAACAATGTTACAATTTCTTGGACGACAGAAACGAGTATTCGGAAAGCACATAGGCCCTAACAATCACTCCTGCCAACTCCTTGCTCCAGTATAGTCGTTGAGCACCAAACTAAACAGTGCGCACACGCAAATCGGTGCCGCCGTTGCTGTCCACGAAACGGATAGAAAACTAAACAAACATATAGACAGCCCCCCGCTGTCACATCCCGAAACATACCCCTTACATTTCCAGAGTTCATGCAAGAACACTCCGCGAATATCAAAATGCCAACTAACAAACATGGAGACAGCCCCCCTGCAAAGGTAGCTGTTCATATGGGGAAACAAAAACAAATCGATTGCTGTTCATGCCCTCTAGAATCATGGTCACACATGACATCCCCCCCCCCATGATTCTGGATGTACATAAAAACAGCAACAAAGAAGAAAAAACCAGTGCAAAAGTAAAACGCGCTGCCAGAAAGAAAGGCAAAAAAAACTAAACTAAACACGAAACCCACATTGTTAGATCAGACTCGATGTCGTCGCGCGATGCAAGGCGCGTCACGAGCCCAAACGGAGTGCCCCGCTCGGAGGGGCGACCCCCAGCAGGTTGTTCTTGATCTCCCACATGCACCCCTCCCAAACATCCTGTTCTCCACCGCCCTCTATCTCGTCGCCCCCCAGCTCGCCTTCCCCCAGCTCACCGGTCCGTATCATCCCAGGCCAAATCATCGGCTTGCCGTTCAATACGCGCCGTCGGAGATGGATGTGGTCCATCGGCCTCGGAGGTCGGCACCGATTTGCGTGTCGGCAACGGCGCGGCGGTAGTAACAGCGGCGGGCAGCGGAGCGGCGGTAGTCCTCGTCGCAGTCATCCGCGGGTCCGGCAGCGCGGCGACATCCGGCGAGGATGCAGGCGGCACGGGTGCCCCGGGACTTGGCGGCAGCGGCGGTGGTGCGGCGGCGGCGGCGGCGGCGGCGGCTACAGGCCAAGGCGCAGCGGTGGCAGCGGGCTGCGAAGCGGCGATGGCCCCGGGTCCCAACTCCCTGGGGAGGGTGTTCCCTTGTTGCTTGGCAGTCAAACTCAAAACGGGTTGGGGAAAGTAGCCAGCGCGGTGGTGGAAACCGTCAACATCCATTTGTTCGGCACGACCCAACACAGCCACATCACACTTAGACGCAACACCTTCCCTCGCATCAAACATCCCCGCACTCGTCCCCGAGTCTCCCTGCAACTGCTCACCACCTTTGGGTGTTGACATCCTAGTGTGCCATACCGGGGCTTGAAAGGTCACAGCAGGCTTCACCACAGGAACCACAGGAACATCAGGCACAGACATACCAGCAACGGGAACACCAGACACCTCCCCCATCACTAACAACTCTAATCTCATTTCCAGACACAGAATCAGACTCGCCTAGAGAATTCACACTACGTGTGAGGAAGAGACGAAGAGGGGCGCCACTTGCTGGAGGAGTGTCGCCCGGAGGTGGAGAGGGGGTCGCCGTCGAGGAGGCAGAGGTCGTTGGATTAGCGCCGATGTACTGCTGCTGCTGCTGCTGCTGCTGCTGCTGCTGCTGCTGCTGCTGCTGCTGAGTCGCCGGCTGAGTAGCGGTGCTAAAGGCCTCGTTGAAGACTCGCTGCTCATCAGCGTCGGGCCCTGCAGAACGGGGACAGAACGGGCGGCCCCGACCCCAGCTTGCCCCTTGGTCGAGTTGGTGCAGCTGCTCTCGATATGATCCGCCCGACAAGCGCCCCGATTCTTGCCCCCCGGCCTGAGGAAAACCTGGTCCCCGCATACCGTCCCTCTCGCGAATGAACGCCATGAAGTCGTTGTAGTGGAACAAGAAGTCCTTGCGAAGTTTATGGCAGTCTGGGGTGTTGTGGGAGGAGTTCGCTCCGTGAACCTGGCAGAAGAAGGCACCTCTCTGCTCATGAGATGGTCCGCCATCCGCTCCCGCAGCAGCTGCTCTCCTCATGCCGCCGTCCCGGCCTGCGCCGGCAGCGACGGGCGCATGCCTCGTGTCCTCGATCCCCTCCCCACACCTCCGTTTGATCCTCTGCTCGTGCTCGACCAGCCTCAGCGTCTCTTCCAGAGTACCTCTCGAAAGCATGGGGTGGAACAGAATACGGTCTTTGACATCGTCGTACATTGGGAGCAAGCCACGTGCAAAGTGTCTCGACATTAACGTCTCCTCTCGATTGTCCCCACAAGACTGTAATTGCATCCACACAGTATTCGCCCTTCCCCAGTAGTCGACCAGAGTCTCTCCATGCTTCTGTCTAAGGCAGTTCCAAGTGCCGTCCAGGATTTCTCTCTCATGCGTCCTGTTTGTAGTGTAGTAGGACTGAAACACTCTCCACCCTGCTCGTGGACTCTCTGAAGCTAGTATCTGGTCTAGTATAGGTTGAACGTTGATTTTCGTGATCAAGCACATCCAGACTCTCGTGGCCTTTCGAACACTTTCATCGCCATACCTCTGCCGCAACCAAGTCTTATCGACGTGCAACGAACCCACAGGAATCTCTTCTCCTCTCATGATCTCTTCAAGACCCTCTGCATCCATCCACCCTGAGAAACAACTCGTAAAAATTCGGAACGCGACAGTCACACTTCGATCCTTCAAGAAAGCATCATTCCACTCAGGTACTTCGACTCTCTCTCTCAGCTTCAACTCTATGGGCTGGGAACTAGACGTGCCTGAGCGGACGTCATGTCCCGGAGTCTGGGAGGCGAAGTTGGCAACCCGGCGGAGGAGGTCGACAAGGGCGATAGTTGGATCTTGTTCCCCTCCATCCGCGGCTGCTTTCGTTCCTCCCTGCTGGTCCACATCGGGGAGGTTCAACGAACCTCGTCCTTCCCCCCCGTTGTCTTCCCCGTGGGGAGAGGAACTAGTCCCTGGTCCCCGCGGAGGTCTTCGTCCATCTCCTCCAGCCGTCTTATTCGCGCAGACACAGCAGCCACTTTCTTGATCTATTACGCTAGCGTGTTGAGTAGCTTTGTGCGTGGGTGCCTCGGCGCGGGGTCCCGTAGTGGGAAACAAAAGGTGCCAGCAGCTGGGTTACTGCCAACGGTCAAAATGTAGAAACTATCCGCGGGCGTGAAAGCCCTTCTACGTGGTGGAGCGTGGAAGCTCGTGTATAATATAGTTGTGGCGTGGAAGCCGGGTGGCGTGGTGGCCCTGATGTAAAGGTATATGTAGGGACGTGGGAGTCCTGAAGGCGTGGAAGCCGGGTTGGCGTGATAGCCGGAGTATGGGCGTGGAAGCCGGGGTTGGCGTGAGAGCCGGAAAAAGGACTTGATTATACACAGAAAAAGGAAGATGAATAAATCAAGGGCACGTGGCCAACACCGTTGCTGACACGCATACCCAGAAAACAATAATATGTGGCAAAGATGGTACCACCATTCCCCCAATTTATTACAACTGCGGAACCCCCAAAATCCCCCGCTCCATCTTCTAGGAACATTCCTCGGTTGCAATAATCTGTCAATGCTGTGAGTACATCCAACAGTGCATGTAGGCATGTCTCGTACTTTGCCTCACCCTCATAGTGGATGAAGATGGCATCGCGCTCGAAGCTCGCTGAAACGGCCGCAAGCATCCTCAATCAAGCTTCGCGCAGTTCCCACTCACTCGCAATGCGCTGTCTTTTCTTTCAAAGTCTTTCAAATTTTAAAACGGAACAAGACTGGAACGCCCTTGACAGGAACGCCGCATTCTCTCTATGTACTCCTACGCAAAGTGTGTGTGCCTGCCCTCTGTCTGACCCATCTTTAGCATCTCGCCCCTCCCAGCCATCTTCTCTCTCGTCCAGCGTCTCTCTCCCCATCTCTACTCTGCTCTATAACTATTCGAAGGTGGAAATCTGTGAGGTAAATGCAAGGACTACTGCTGTATGTGTGCGGCGTGTTGTAGTGCTGCAGATAGAAGAGGGTACAAAGGGGCCACGGCGATTTGCGGAGGCAAACAAGCGCGAGAGCGGGACACCCAGCGCGGGAAATAAGCTACGAGAAGGCTGCTGGTTACGAAAAGCATCTGAAACTGGCAGCGTAACCATCCCCCAAGCAGATGAGGATGTTGCGCACAGCGATCGAAAAAGTACATGCTCATATGTCAAGGAAATGACGAAACAGCAGCTGTAATTTGCTCGTGAACCGCCATTGCGGTTGTTGAGGAAGTCAGTATCATGCAAGTGTTTACATAGTCTCTCTACAGCAGTACAGCTGTGAGGGACCGTCGGCGCTTCCCCGCGTCCTACGAAGTGCTGTACGACACAACCGCCAGACTAAAAGAATGCGAAGTGTTATTGTCTGATAGTTGCTGCCGTAGAATGTGCTTATTCCTGATGGCGGATCTCTACCTCTCTCCACGGAATCCTCCACGACTGGGCAGGTGCAAAGGTCGCGTGCGAATGGGAATCCTTGGATCTCCCGCACTCGGGCTCGAGCATGTCTCGAGCGCGAGGGTGAAAATGGATGAGCTCTTGGTTTGCTGGGCAAGCCAAAAGGAGACCGTGAAGCTACTTCGAGGGTACCTCGAAGCCGTGGCGGCTGACCAACCACTGGACAAGCCGGGATCATCCCTCTTCCAGACGCTCTCATCGTCGCCGTCTTCGTCGTCATCGCTGCCTCTGTCACCTCGCTCGCCCTCGCCGTTGAAGTCTCCCGTTGGCCACAGTGCGGGCCCAGCCGGACTGTCTCATCGCTCGCCGACGTCAAAGAGCCATTGGACTCCACATCTGTCACCACGGTCAGAGAGGTTCGAGCGATACCTGTCTCCGGAAAAGAGGTCGCCGTCTCGATCCTCTGGCGTGTCCGAGGAAAGCTCCCGCTCTCGCCCCCCAGAAGCTTCGCGCAAGGTTGCAGACGAAGGACGAGCGAAAGTAAGCAGAGAAGATATTCCCCACTTCTGGGTCAAGGGGGAAGGCGGGCGCGGGAGGGGACGCCCAATACCACGCGACTCGCTAGAAGAGAGACGCCAGGAAATGGAACGTCTGTTCGAAAGACACCCGGAAGGACTTGGAGTAGATGACTTCGTCCCGGTTACGAAGACGTTGTGCGGGTTCCCAAGCTTTTTCAATGCTGTTCTCTACAAGCGAATCTTTGCGCGTAGCCAGCAAGCACGGGCGTCGGCGGCCCGCCAACAGGAGAAGACCGCGCCAGAAGGGGAGGAATCGGAGGGTGCACACAGTGGGCAGGACAACGGAGCAGACGAACTCCCGCCGGACGCACGAATACCCCTGGCTCTGTTCGAAGAGTTTTGGAGGGATGAGATCGAGACGTACGATCACATCGACAGATTTTTCCGGCTGGTCAAGAAACCGGAGAACCACTTCATCGAAAAAGTGAGCGTGCCAAGCGACAGCGTGTTTGGTGAGGTTTTTTAGACACGTGGCGTTTAGCGGGGAACCCCTGCAGATATGGCAGAGGGGCAACACGCTGTACGCTTCCCAGCCGTAAAGTGTCAGCTGTACGCCGATATTCAAAGATGACAAGGGCCGACTAAGGTACAGCTTAAATCATGCTCCAGTTTAGCATCATTCGTCAATGCTAAGTGCGTGTAAGCTGTTTTGGCCTGAGGTGACGTTACTGCGGTCGCCATAGGTGAGGTACGCGCATTCGTTACATCCGCTCATGGGTCCACAACATATTGCGACCGGTGACTCTATTGTTGGTTTTTAGTGCCTTATTCCCTCCAGCGGAACCTACGCCACGCTTCCCCAAGGAGCTGCCGTTTTTTTCTTTTTCAAATAACGTGTTTTCATGTACTGAATGCAATGCAGGACGACCTGCAACCGTTCATCCGGGAACTGCTCCTCTATCACCCAGGCCTGGAGTTTCTCGAGGCCCACCCTGACTTCCACCCAAAGTACGCTACAACGGTCACCACGAGAATATTTTATATCGTCAACACGAGGTGAGGCGCCTTACGACTATGTACCATGCAAGTAGGAAACGGCTGAGTATTATCTGGTTCCGTGAGAGACAAGAACAGCATCACTAGTATTGCCCGTCATCAAACAAGTCGGCATTCAGTGATTGTACCGTGCTTTGCACGCTGGCACCTAAAGTAGCCTTCATCATTTGCAGGCACTTGTAGGCAACAGGCGATGTCTCTGGGACTCAAGATGATGCCGTACAATGCGTGACCTGGCCAGGATTGTTTAGTAGTACTTGGATTTTCTTTTCGTGTGCACAGTCGGTGTGGCCGCATCAGCCAAGGCGAACTGCGACGGAGCAACTTGGTGGAGGTGTTCAACACGGTTGATGAAGAGGAGGACATCAACAAAGTAAGCGGAAAGCGGTGTTTCCGACTGCTCAGGTATCCCCAGCAGTAGCGGACGGAAATGTTTAGCATGACCACTCCAATCATTGATGTCACGCCGAATGTGTGCTACCAAAGCGGAAGATGTTGCAGGACTACGGAAGGCAATGGGTTGATACGCTGTCCCTCTGTCACATTGTTTTTTTAAGTTAACAAGAGGGGACGGACGGATAAACGTACGTGAGTGGTTAACGACAAACTTTTTTTTTCCAAGGTGACGGAGTACTTCTCGTACGAGCACTTCTACGTTGTGTTCTGTCGCTTCTACGAGCTAGACGCTGATCGAGACGGGCGTTTGAGTGAAGAAGATCTCATCAAATACGGCGAGCATGGCCTAAGCCGCCTCATCGTGGACAGGTGAACGCACGTTTCGCATATCAAACTATGCAGCGGGACTGCCGAAGAATCACCGTCATCGCCCACCCATTTGTTCCAACTCGAACACTCCAGAGCACATTGATTTCTCTTTTTATTCGCGCCACGTGCACTTTTGTACGAATTGTGTTGTGCCCATGGTTTGGAGAATTGAGGAGGTGTCAACCTGCTGTTTGGCGGTACATACTGTACGTACAGTGAAGGTGCGTGCGGGCTCTTGTTTTCATCGGCACTGGAAGCGTACAGTCTACCACATTTCGTGCTGTGTTTTGTCGAACAGGATCATGTCGGTGGGTCCACGGCCATTTCCTCAGGGGCGAAGAAACGAGGACGGATCGGACCCCCGAGCAACAATGACCTACGAAGACTATGTGTACTTCATGCTCAGTGAAGAAGATCGAGGGAACGAACATAGTCTGCGATATTGGTTCACGTGCGTGGACCTGGACGGGGATGGGCGTATCGGCCACATGGAGATGCGTTTGTTTTATGACAATCAGGCACGTGACCGAAGGTTGGAAGGATGCACAGAAACCTGAGACCTTTTGCGCTTCGTAAGCACTCATGTGTTGTGTGCATGTAGCGCCAAACGATTTTCTCTTCTGCATCGTTTGCTGCTTTCAGCGGAATGAGTGCAAATTTGGGTCTTAGCCCATGCACTTGACTCAGTCAGCGAACCTCTGCACTGGCATGATGTTGCCTAGTCACTCGTGTAGATGCACGGGCCATCAATACCTTCGTGTGGAGTGTGGAAGGACCGACAGAGTGAGCCACGTCTTTTTTCGATCAAGTGCTGTTGTGAAACTGGCTGCAGGTGCATCGGATGGAGTCGCTGGGCCACGAAGTCGTGCCTTTTGAAGACGTGGTCTGTCAGATGTGGGACATGCTCAAGCTTGGCGACCGCAGCTACGTAACCTTGCAGGTGCGAGCACTGACGCTGTTTATCTGGCGCGCCTCGTGTGATAAAAAAACGAACGGCGCATGCGTTCAAGTTCCTCCGATTGCCTCTCACCCGATGAAGGCAACTTCGGCTTTTATATAACTCAACGGTTTTTGGTAATTTTCGCGTAAGCAAATGGGTCCACATCCATTGGACAAGTATCGCAACCACATCGAGGAATCCCACCCTCTCTCTAGCGGAATCTAAAACTTGGAACTATTGTACCATTCGAACTACACTCATATGAGCGTTGCCTTTGGGGGTTTCGCAGGACTTTCTGAGGCCAGAGACATTGAAGGTGGGGGGCGTCTTCTTCGACGCCTTGTTCAACTTGAACAAATTCATTGGCTTCGAGCAACGAGACCCCTTTGCAGAGCGGCAAAGGAGGAACGACCCGTTTGAGACAGATTGGGATAGGTAGGTCGTCTGGCTGCTTGTGGTTGTTTTCCAGAGCCATTATGAGCACCTCTACATTTCGGACGCGTTGTTCCGTGTATACAAATTACTCCACTTGGAGTAAATGTTTTTGTCACTCTTGCTGTGTACTGCTGTGTGACGGCAGTGTCGTCGTCCGTTGTCACAAATAATTTCGCATCAAACGTGCTCAAGCTGCCCGACGAACAGGAGTGCTCCCGTAGCCGTTGCACGTCTGACTTTTAGGAATTCGTCAGACCAACACCTTGGACGCACGGTCTTCTAGCCTCTCGTTCTCCGGCATGCAGAACACGCAGGCTGTTCGAAATTGCCGTGTGTGGAACGTCTTATCGGCGAAATGTTACACGACAGTGATGAGCCGACTTGCGCCAATACTTGCCGGCCATGAGATCGACTGTAATGAACGTTTCTCCGCATCAATAGAATTTGTGTGCTCGGGATTTTGGTGTGCATGTGTACTTGACACACATGACAGCATACTGCCAAGTCGTGGTGACCCCAAGAACTCGCCTCACCCCCAACGCAACCCTGCATCTACACTGTGTGCTTCCGCAGGTTTGCGTTTCACGACTACAACCGGCTTGCTGCCGAAGATGAGCGAGATGTTGGAGATTCGACGGATATTGATGGCAGCGACGACTGGATTGTGACAGACGATGACGAGGGAGACGACGATGTATTAGGGCAGGATGGCATTGCGACCGCCGAGGCTCCATTTTAAAAAGCCACGTAACAGCAGTCCTTGGGAAGGGGCTGCTACGGAAATCCCATCGGCAACAACCAACGCCGAAGGGAGAAATCAGCATTTGGTGGTTCAAGCGAAATCAGCGGCGCTTCCTTGTGTCAGAACTAGTCTGTTTGTCTAGCCAAGTCTTCATCAATTCAGTACTTTTCGTCCTTGTCTTCCCTTCGTGTCATCTCTCGAATGAGTACCGGTACAGACGTCGGAGGTAAGAAGCCAAACTCCGTGATGACGAGGGTGACATACTTGATCGGTGTGAGGTCGTAGCGGAGATTCAACAGCTTGAGGCTGAGGACACAAACAACAAACGGGCAGCAAGGGTGGGCATAGATGTTACACGACACTCGATCGCACGCGGGAATAGCGGACAAAAGTGGCATGCCGTGGATACATTCCAACAAGTACCATATCCTTGGCACCCTATCCGTGCCAAACCTGCAATTTGAGTAAGGTCTCCGTGTCGGATTGCAGTCCTGGTCGTTTTGGTTTTGGCAATCGAGCATCTGTGGCCATTTAGTTGGTCGAAGCGAACACCCTTAAGTAACATAGTTCCTTGCCAGAATTACCCTAGTTAACCTCATTGTTGAGAAAATAAAAGGGACCCAAATCGGGTCCTTGAACTGTGCTTGTCAATGAACTACATGCAGCCCTGGTCTACCTGCAATGTTTTTGGCCACGATCTAAACCAAGCCGCCATTAACCGAGAGATGACCGTCTTCAATTAGTTCGTCGGTGTGCAACCGTTTCAAGGCGCGCGGCACGAGCTGCGCAGCTCGGGAAGACTCCCCAACTAGTCGGTGCACACGAACATGACCACATAGACACGCAGTTCAACAAATAACGTCGGTGAACTCACTAACGTGTCTCGTCTACCTGGGTAAAGCCTTGAACTCGTCCACATCCCCACCACTGGCGTCAGAAATCAGGTCATCCGGCTGGCCCAGCTCGTTGTATACGATCGAATCAAGTTGCACGCGCTCGCAGAACTAGTTGGGTGAAAACACACAAGGAAGCGGAAGAGGTGGGCAAGACGAACAGCGCTGAAAGTAGCGTGACCATGGGGAAAAGGCGTTCTTAGGCTGCTGTTAAATTTACTCTCCAAATTCTGGTGCTGTACGCCCGATAGTGTCAAGACTTTCCCGGTAGAATAATGACCATCGACAAAATAGGCAACGGATGTGGCAGCGCAGAGAGTCAGGCCGTGGTCAGTTCTTCCCGTGTAGGTTTAGACTGTACCATGTTGGTCGATACCATCCTGCTGGTGCTTAAGAAGTCCAGCGGTCCAACAAGGCTACGCTATTGACATCATGCACCATGAAGCCAGTCACAACGTCAGAAGTCCCACCTTGTAGGTTTCGCAGCAGAACATGATCGGGAGGTTGTGCGAGCGCGCCATCATCGCCACGACCGCCTACAGATCATTCAGCGAGCCAATTGACAGAGGACAGGAAAGGCGGGGCGGGACATGATGCGGGAGCATGCATTACTGACGGGAAACACACAAAGGTTCCTAGACCAAATAATCTCATCTCCATCGCATGGTCCCTCTCGAAACGAAAGTTACTCACCGTGCCCACTCGGGACAAGACGGCGCCGTTTGACATCATTGCCGAAGCACCGATGAAAACCTTCGTCACCTCCTGCAATAAGCACGAAATCATGCAACAAAAATACTGTGAGACGGTCGCAAAGATAAATGGAGTTTCTGCCATGCTGCACCAGGTGTGATCCCGCGTTTTCGGTCATCACCCCCACTATCCTCTTGTGCGCCAAGACTGCACGGACTACCCAAGAGCCACGGACATCAGAAAGACACATTCAAAGCAGGAGAAAGGTTGTCCGTGCTTACCCTCATGATGTAAGATATTGCAGTGAGCAGGACGTATGTGCAAGGAATGCCCTCCGCAGAGAGTGTTTCGGAAAGCTGGCGACCTTCCACTCCAGGGCGCGAGTCCACGATGATCACCCTGAAAGACCCTCGTTTGGCCTGCTGCGCAGCCACCAAAACGCTTTCGACCAAAGAAGACCTGCTCCGCAACACCAAAGAAGGGAGATGACGAACATAACGGTGGTGAAAATTCTCTGCTGAGGCTGCATTCCGTTTCACCAACGTGCTACCATCTTCACCTTTATTCTGCGGCAAGAGGCCTAACGCTGTGCCTAACAAGCTAACAACACACCTTCCGTATGTCAGGATGACGTCACCATCCCTGATCTTAGTGATGGCGTTCTTGGCGATCTCGTTCGCCGCCAAGGTAATCCGCGTGTTGATGAACTCCTTGATCTTGTCGACGATGCTCGCTTTGGCCTCTTCCTCCGGCAGAGAAGGGGGCGACTTGGCGATGATATTCCTCAGCGCCTTGATCAATTTTTTAGGGGTTCATCAGTTTTTTGAGGTTCATCAGTTCGGACGTCAGTTGACTGTCTTGCGCAGCACTGCATCCCACTACGAAAAATTAAGCTTTGCCCCAACGCCGACGTTCCAGAAGTCGTGGGAAGGGCACCAAGTTCGAAAGGGTTACGGAGGCCATCCACATCTATTGAGCCCGACGACGAGGAGTAAGAGTAGAACGCCCAAGTACAACAGTGGGAGTCTCGTAAGCTGTTTCCGCGCTTCACGAGAATATGCAACTCTGTGGTTACTTTCAACAGACTGGCGGCTAGAGCTTTGGTGTTTTCGCACCAGCACCCCAATGACACGCAGCCGTACTCAGAGCTTCCCGTACATTGTAGGCAGCACCCGTGCTCAAAAACACTCCGTGGTTATCTTGATTTCGATGTTTTGGAAGTGCAACGCCAATCATACGCAAACAAGTGGAAGCAGTTCCCGCACCTTATGGGCATTGCCCATGCTCACTGAGTGGGGTCGGCAATCTATCAGGTATTGCATCATCGGGCGTAGCCTCTTGTCCAGATCCCAGCTCAGCATCTGTGGTTGGATTTTTCATCGACGGCAGTTAAAATCATGCAGCAGAGGTCAGCCAAACCTCTGAGCGGGCGGGTGGTGGATCGATGGGATAGATAGGATAACCCACTACTCGGTCAGCCACTGACTGCAGCGTGGTCTTGTAGGCTAGCCCAGCGAATGCCAAACACACCACACGGAGGCACGCTTGCGGGTGGAACGAAGCAGGAGACTTCCAAGCCGCTATTGAATCGGCGGAACGCAAGCCCATTGGTGAAATTGTGGCCCAACCACACAAGCCGGAGAATGACAGAAAACGGAGGCGCATCGCAGCGTGACGAGTTTTCGAGGGTGCAGCAAAAAGTCGACAGCGACGGTGCGAGATCGTTTATTTTCCCTGCTTTGCACCAAGATTGCACCTTGTCCGGAGGTGTGGAGTAGTCCATGACGACCTGCTTGAACGCCATCAGCATCGCCACTGCCCTTGCGGTTGCTCCAGTCACCTCACCGCTCGAATACTTGCGTCCTAGAGCCAAGATCGCAGGGTGGATGTCTCCCTGGCAACAAAGCACGTCACATTATCCATATTAAGGTCTATACATTGCTGCCGAAAGGCATCTTTCGGCGGAACTTGCCTACAGCAGCTCTTATGTTCGCGTACTTTCGGGCAGTCAACAGGTCCCAACGGTGCGGCGAGCTATCTTTGTCTCTCCTTTCCACTATCGTCGACATCATTGACGACAACGAAGTCCTTGGTTCGGCCTGGTGACGATTGTTGAGACTGCCGAGCGCATCAATTCGTTCATCATATCCGTACCTTCGACGTCAATGGTAGCACTCCTCGATTCTGCTCCAGGTGCGAAAACATGTGGACGTTGTTCGCCAATGCACCTTGCTGCCCCCCCGCTCGCTTCTGCCCAGGCGTACATGACATGCGGCCGAGGTGCCGTATCTTAGAGATATATAAAGTATTCCCTCAGAGGGAAGTGGGTTCCATTCCAGCCCACATCAAAGAGATAACCGGAACATTACAAGACATCGCGCGGTTCAGAGACATCGCACAGTCTGGAGTCCTCGCACCCCCATGCGATAAAAATAAACTGGTTAAACGATTTAATTCGATCTCCGCACAGGGTCCGGAGTCATCGCACAGTCCGGGGCCACCGAACCGTTGTGCTAGCGACGAAAAAATGAAAAAATGAAATGGCGACAATGATTCACAAACGACCACACGGAGGTGCGATGACTCGCAATCCTACGGGAAGCCAGAAACCATACGTGGAAGGATCTCTCCATCTCTCTCTCTGCGGTTGACCCAAGCCAAAAATAGGGCGTTGTTTACCAATTATCACAACAAGTCCGCTGCTGCTGCTGTGCTCTGTTGTAGTGATACGTACTTTTTCGTATTTTGTTGTTTTGATGTTAAGGGAGGGAGGCAGACAAAACCTGTGGTTGTTGCTCAAACCTTTCTCATACCACACCGTCCTTTGCCCCAAGAGGGGCATAACGACCTCAGCCCTAGAGCGATTTTCACAAGCACACACCGGTTGATACACATCGCACGCGTGAAGCTGCCGAGAACGGTGCTAGTGGAATATTGAACCCGTTGCTGAGAAAAATGTTTTGGCATTGCAGTAACGTGTAAATGTGTGCCATCTCCTTACCCCGAAGGAAAAATGAATCGATGATATATATATACGATAATATACCTTACGAAGGAAAGGAAGGTCGTCATGCATCACAGCAACAAAGGTTTACGTGGCTCATTTTGTATTCTACTGCATGACAGCAGTATGTCAGCGTACAGCGGTGCGCGGCAGCAAGGAGCCGCTGATTTGACAGTCCTGTAAAAGAAAAGGCAAAGAACCTGCAACACCCTTGTTACTCTGTACCCATGCGTGGGACCGATGCACGAACCTGTCCGGCAGATACATGCCCCGAGCCTGGCAGTGATGGTGATAACGAGCTCGCCTGGCCATGTTTCCCGCTAGACAAACCTGCGGCTCCAGCGGCTTGTTCGCCTGTTCTAGCTGAGGCTTTCGCGGCTCTCTGCCTCTCCTGAATTTCTCTTCGTTCAGCTTTGGTCAGTTTAGGCTTCGGCTTGATGACACGCTCCTGGCCTTCCATCTTGCCTTTGTTAACGCCCGCACTGCACTCGCTCCCTTAGGTGTACGTTCTATGCACCTCGCTAGGTTGCTAGGCGTAGGTCATTGCATCGTCTACTGCTGTACCTGAGCATCTGGGCGCGAGAGAACCTGAACGCCTCCTCGCGTTTCGCGGGGGGTAGCTAACGATTATACCGAGAGCCCAGCTGCCCAGCTGCGACCGGTGCCACCACACCGGCTACGACGCTCTCTCTCATGCACGCACGGCCCCGCGCTCCACGCCGCGTATACATTGTCTGTACCCCATGATTCGACCGCCGCTAGCTGACAGTGGGGAGTCAATCACGCTTGCAAGGAGATGGTTTCTGTACGGATGCGCAGGTCTGCCGCTCCTTTGGATCGTGAGTGCAGTAATCTACAATCTACAGCAGGGGTCGTATAACCTGCCAGATAACATGTACATAGGGGAAGAGCAAAATATGCTACCTTTTATCCAGGGCAGTGCCACTATTCGATACGATGTAAAGCAATTGATGTATAGTGGCAATAATGTCACTACAGCAATACTATTGAAGAGAACAGCTTTGATGTCCACATTTTGTATGCATATGGCAGTATAATTGTTCGGAAAAATACACAAGTAAATACCCATCGAGATTTTGTACACCCACGGAGTCGAACGGGATGTGGAGTCTTTTCAGTGAGTGTACAGCCGACGAGTTATACAGAGGTACAGTTGCCTATCTATTTCTTTGTTGATCCGGTGGACTGGAGCGTTGGACCTGTCTATCTTCGTTATTGTTTTCGTTGTCTATATCTCTTTCTTTCTTTCTTTCACAGGGTCTTTCCTTCATTCATCCCTTTTATCCGGGGTCGATCGTCTGTATCCCGGTTAGGCCCGTTCCAAAACGGAACCCAACTCCCCCATTTGAAAACACGAAGCGGTGAAAAGATGAAGGGCCTTTTCCCGCTTGTTCTCATCGTGATGTCATCGTAAATATTCGGTTTCTTCGCTGAATACACGCTTTGCTCGACCACACAACAGGTTGACCTGGTTTCTTGGTTTTGCTCACCATAGAGCAGCGGTAAAAGCGCAAAGAGCAGCACCCGACAAACAGGACAGCACACTTAATAAGACCCCGTCCACCCGGTCTGCTGTTTTCAGCAACAGGCGCTGGGCAGAATGTCGCAACGTGGGTGTTGCTTGCGATTTCTTCAGTTTGCTCCTCGTTTTTCACCGTTGCGACCCCCTTTTTTGACCACCTATCCAAAGGTAGACGAGCGCAACAATCATGGGGCGACAGCGGCGCTGAGGGCCAGCATCATATACAGGACCAACCCGAAAGAATTAGCATGTCGGAGGCCCTGTTGCTCTACTGCGGCGTGGTGCCGTGGATTCGTGTTGCTGTCTCCGGCCGAAAACAGGGCATCTCATCGCATTTTTCCCAACGGCAGTTTGGCAGGGTGGCACACATCTCTCACACAACGTCTTGAGCAGCACCCGAGCCCCCAATACCCACGAAACAGCACAGCGCCGGGGCTGAGTATCACATAGACCGCCGAACCGAAGGAATCAATGCGTTGGAGGCCTTGGCGCTGCTGCTATATGCTCGTTCTACTGTTTTCGTGTTTGTCATGTGTGATAAAGAGAAAAACCCGAACATCAACAGCACCAGTTGAAGACGAGAGGGCCATGCAATGTCTCGGTTTGGACCAAGAACGGACTGAACCTGGCTTCTGCCGCTGGTTATGTCCGCCATAGACCTGGACGTGAGTGTAGCAGGCTTTGCTAGCGTTCTCAGTGATGTTACAGCGCTCGCGGTTCGCCTGCCCGATCCTTTAGCAAATAACCGGATCGGGGAAAGGAGCACGCAGTTTTGTTTTTGCCCCGATCCGGTTCCAGAACCGAGAACTTTTCCGGGAAATCTGCACGCAAGAACCGTTCGGGGAAATTTTCTGGGAATTTGGATTCTGTTTGAAACAGGCCTGAGTTTTCCTTCTTTTTTTTTTTCGTTTGGGTAAGGCTGTTTCTTGTACACCTGGATTCATTTTCCAAAAAGCTTCACGTTTCACAATCCGGCTTCTTATTCAGCCAGATTCTTCAGTTTTTTGGGTCGACACAATCCGTGTTCAGCTTCTTGGGTTGCCTCCAACCGAAAAGCTTGGCAGAAATCAGGATGGTGCCCACCCAGATTTTATGGCCCTAACAGTTCACCGCTGGTGAACCCAGACGACATACAAGTAGTCGGCAAGTGCGACCTAAGTTCTTGACGTATCGCTCCCATCAAGGGCTCCCAGCAACCCTACGCTGAAGGCCTTGCTATTCTGCACGCTGGCTGTTGATGGTCGCTCCGCACGCGTGCGTAAAAAAAGCATATCGCATCGCACCAAGCATGGAGACGCCGAAACAGGCCAAACCGCCACGAGACAGCAAAAAGAGTCGCTTTTCGTCAGAGAGGGGAGGACACCGCAACTGATTTCTCGCTCCCTAGGCCACCGATCGAAGCCAGACCGGTCAGGGTGTGCTATCTGTTCTTTGCTCTCTGCCGGAATAGGTTCGCTGAGCAGCGTGTACTCTCAATCGACGGAGAGAAGCACGCGCGTGGTGTCCGTTGCTTTTTCGAACTGTGATTTTTTTCTGGTTTGCTTCACTTGAGAATTGATTGATGTGTTGAAGCCTGAAAACAATTTTCAACAGACAGCTTGTGCTAACGCAAAAGACGATTTCGAATGATTGGATCAACGAGCTGCTCAGTAAATCTATTCCAGCAGAGAGCAAAGAACAGATAGCACACCCTGACCGGTCTGGCTTCGATCGGTGGCCTAGGGAGCGAGAAATCAATTGCGGTGTCCTCCCCTCTCTGACAAAAAAGCGACTCTTTTTGCTGTCTCCTGGCGGTTTGGCCTGTTTCGGCGTCTCCAGGTTGGTGCGATGCGATATGCTTTTTTTACGCACTCGTGCCGAGCGACCATCATCAGCCAGCGTGCAGAATAGCAAGGCCTTCAGCGTAGGGTTGCTGGGAGCCCTTGACGGGAGCGATACGTCAAGAACTTAGGTCGCACTCGATGATAATGTCGTCTGGGTTGATCTATACCCACCCCCCAAGAATCCGCCTCAGGAATCCGGTTCACTGAAGAACTACCGGAAGTTTTTTCAGCCGGATTTTTGCCCATCCTGAAAAGTCGTGTTTTTTGGGAAGGGAAATCAGGTGTATAGGAAACAGCCTAACAATCAATCGCGCCTTGGAGGACTTTGTGGGGTCCGTTTTTTATGTACAAAGGTGTACCCCCCTTTGGCGGCAGTTGGCTTGTGACCACGGAAGGCATCCGCGTCAGTTGGACCAGTAGGGACATTACAAGGTACTGAGCGGAGAATATCGGGACCACCTGTTAACCGGCGCCAGAATAGACGGCACAAGCACACACACACTACGGAGAATAGCTTAGCCTCCCCCATGCCCCCGCACGGGGTCCCAGTTCATGGCATATTGACGTGTTTTGTGTTTTCAACCGCACTAAGGCTGACGCCTTTTCATTGGTCAGCCGGTTAGCGCGGTCGATGCTAATATCATAGACACACACACTACACTCCAGCGTGTGGCCAGGTCATGGGTTCGAATCCCACGTAAGCCAGGTTTTTCTTGCTAAGTGAGTCTTTCTCTCGCTTCCGCTCCTGGTGGCGGAAAGCGCTGCATAGTTCGTGTGTACGTGACGTGTATAGACTTTGAGGTAAGAGAGAGTGCGACACTCTTCTCGCAATCGAATGCAAGCACCGCAGGAGGGGTTGGTTGAGGGCCTCAGGGAGAAGAACCTTTCAGTGTAGCCACGGATTGGAGCTCTTACCCGGCAGATTTGTTGTGTGCGCTGATTTAATGTGATTAAACTAAAGAAAAATGAACCACAAACAATCAACAACAGGACAGTTGCATTTTGTGAGTCAAGGTTACCTTTTATGGTGCATGCTTGAAACAGGTCAGCTGCTTCTTCTTCAGAGATAAACTGCGAGATATTCCGACAGAGGCGAGAAAATGTGAGTGCTCAATAGTCTGGCAGTCATAACATGGAAGCGTGCAGGATACCACTTTTCCTGCTGCAAGGTGCTGCTGTACTGGTAGCAATGACCGTGTTAATACAAGTAAGTGCCTTGGGTTTTGCTCGTGTAACCTGCCTTCTGTATTTCTCGGCCGCCCGAAAGATCAAAAGAGATCGACAGCGGTGGCTGGAGGCAAGCTGTGACGGGCCTAGACACATAATATACGTGACGTTCGGCCACGCGTTGCACGATGGAGGCGGGCAACATCCTATGGTTATTCATGTCTTGTAACAATGTGCTTGCTCGTCTTTCCACCTCCGTCGGCAGGGGTGTTGCTGTCGTTCGCGGCCGCTGGAGTGTCGACAACGTTGTGCGTAGCATGGGTTGTTATTTCCCTGTCGTCGTGGAAATCGTGGGGAACGGCGTTTATGGTTTCTGTACCTGACTCAGACCTGACGGGCTGGTAATGTCGTCGTTGTCATAGCGGTATACTTCCGGGTACTGGAATTGTGCGAGCAAGCGCGCACGTGTGTGAACGATTTTTACGTCGTTTCAACTGTTTTTTACGGCATCCGCTGTTGCGATGACTCCGACACGTGATACAGAGTAAATAAGTACCAACGGCTGATGTGTGTAATGCGCGCCCTGGAGCGTGTCTCCAACATCTTCGATACTGATAGAAACCACAGCGCAGAAGATGTCAACCTATCAAACATGGGGGATTAGGTATTAGATCAGTAGTGGGGGATTAGGTAGAAGAGAAGGTAGCAGAAGGTTCGTTTCTTCAATGATATAGCGAAGGTAGAAGACGAGTTGGATTGCAGCAGTGTGCAAGAAGAGTCGGATACGATGCGGTTGCTCGTTGAACATGATCCGTTTGCCTTCCAGCTTACGTGTCTCTTGGCTGGGGGGTAGGTTAGGTAGGTAACAAAGCGACTGCCCTTTGTCATTTTGTGCCTGGTTGAGTGGTCCCTGTTTTTTCCAGATTGCAACGATGAACTTCCTCGTTTCCACGTGTGCACTCTGCCACACTGCATGCACATGCAGCAGTGGAGCCCCGATTGACACTGCGAGAGGTCCATCGCTTCACTTGCGATAGAATCCAACCCCACGCCGGACAGTGGGATTAGTCGTGGTTATCGTATACAAAACTGTGCGTGTGCGATAACTCCGACCCTTTTTGCGAAAACCCAAATAAATCATGTCAATCTTGCTTCTTAGCACCCCCCTGTGCGATCGCTCGCACGACTGATGATGCGGTACTCTCTCCACACCCTCTTCAGCCCAACGCTACTGTACTGCGACGAAGGCTTGGGTAGTAAGAGACCTGCCTGGGCTGTTCAGAGCTTTCTGCACACAACTGCATGATAATATGAAGAAGTCGATCCACACTCGCTTTTCATCGTCGTGTCGTACGAGAGAAACCACATTTAGTAGTGGCACGCAGTCTTTTGATCGGTAAAAAGATGCTTTGGTCGGGGAGCCCGAGTTAGTTGACCAAAACCCTTGGGTTGCGGCTAACGTTGTCCACGGTCATGGTGTCACGTTTCCGTCGGAGTACTTTTAACGTGCATGTCGTCAGACCCCCAGGGACATTAGCGATTAGCCAATCGGTTAGATGTGATAGTGTACCATCGTAAGTTATCTTTTCGTTATGGTTGTACGAAATATACCAGGAAGTGCTGTTTGACCACTCGAAGTGATGTCAGGAGATTGGACGAATTGCTTCCCAGTATGCTTCATGATCATCAGCTCCGTCGCACGTCAAGAGCAGCAGGTGCCATGGTACCTCGGTCTGTTAGCCCACGATCAGATCTGATTCGCGGTCTTGCACCCCGGTACACCTAAGGGATCCGATCTGATTCGCGAGGAGGCCAAGGCAGGTCCGAAAGCTTGGTACCATGTCGGCATGCCTCTCCTCTTACCCCGGGGCCAGAACCAGCAGACAACGCGTTTCATCGCCACGACTGGACGGAGGTCGGCTGTCGAGCGCTTGGCACGGTCCACAACTTGGTTAAAACTGTGCTCCCAGTTCCCGAACCCCGCTCGCGGCGGCCTTCGTTTGGCCGACATCATTGAGGCCTCCTCCTCGTCACTGCCGAAGGTCGCAGCAGTGACGAAAGTTTGCCACGTTCGAATGGCGCGCTTCGTTCCATTCTGTTCCTTCGCTCGCTCAATAGTTCTCTCCAGCCAAATTGCCAAGCCTCAGCCTCCAGCTCTTGCACGCGCTGCCGGATGCCCTTGGCACGGCCTTCGGGGTCTTATGATAACCAGTGCATTTGATGCCCCCATGTTGCCCATTGAAGAGAGGGAAGTTTCCGCCCTCTGGATCCTGCAGTCAAACCTCCGTCTGTGCGCAACACGTATGGGGAAGGTAAGAGCGAAGTGTCCACAGCGAGAGGCGGCGCACACAGCACCTACTTCGACTTCACCAAAATATTTTTAAGATGGAAAAAGGGTAGTGGTGATGTTAGGCATATAACCGCTCTTCACCAAATAGTGCAGCATGTGCGTTTCCGGTTACCCTCAAATCAAAAGTAGTGTGAGCTTGCACGCATATGCTGGGGGCGTGGAGAGCTCCATGTTCCGGGGCAGCAAACAGCAAACTATAAAGGCGTCAACATTTCAGTATTTTGCATGCAGCGGTGGTAACGCTCGAGTACTACACTGTGACAACAAGAGGCACAAAAAGTTGACGTGTTCAGCGATACGTTGGGCAATTATTTACCAAATGCGGGGTACACGTGACGTGCAAACTGTAAGTGTTCTTCAGACATGATATCTCACCTCTCGCCCTCCGGCTCATTCATTGTCAACCCAGACCAGGTCCTTCCGCCACCCTGCAAAGCTGCAATGAATGGATCCGCTAACTCCACGTCTGCGCTCCTCCTCCTCCTCCTGGTGACGCTGCTGCTGCTGCAACAACCGGTCTGCCACTCTGTCAACGCAATCTCACAGCTGTCCTTCAGGGTTATCTGCGAGCCAACTCAACGGCTTTCGAGCTCAAACATTGCCAGATTTTCAGAGTTCGCGACGAACGCTCGCATTGTTTTGAAAGACTTGTTGTGGTTCCCTCTTGTCTACAAGCTTTGTGACCAACAACAGCACTTCACCGCGGGTAGCGTTGAATCCTCCAGAGGGCTACCAGGTATGACACAGCAGTACGCAAATACATGTGTACTTGCTTGTAGCACATGTCTGCTGTATAGTCTACAGCAGTAGTAACTTTATTATACATGAAGAGAGACAAATGCCTGGCTTTACGACAACTGCCACCGGCCCAACTTCGGCCACGCTCATGGATGGTGCCTCTCCTCAGCTGATCTGCTGTCCCACGAACTTGCTCAGAACTCCACCACTCCACCACTCCACCACTCCACAACAGAGTTCGAAATGCGGCGCAAAACTGCACTGCTGTACGGCAGTACAAGTCCATCCGCACCTCCAACTCCGAACCGTGATGTACCAATTTGTTTTTGCAGGTGAGGAACAAGGAGGGCCAATGACGCGCTACTGCGGAAGGCGTCTACAGTGTCACGCGTAGTCCCTTCCAGAGCCACGGAGTACTGCTGTGCTGTGCTGTGCAACATGAAGCAAACAAAGAGTCCCGGAGTACTGCTGTGCCGTGTGCTGCGCAATGTGAAGCAAATAAATGTCCAAACAATACGATCTCGGGGGCACACGACTGAAATACAAATGAAATGACATGCCCCATCGTTGCCCCTATTGGTGGAGCCCCACACGCTTGTTGTTCACATGTTCACATTGCCTGTTGCATTCACTGCACTTGCCTCCACACTGCTGTTGAGCAGACCTCTGCTCTCTTCTCTGTCTCCGTCCGACCCGACTACTGCCTAAGATATGGTACGTTTTCGTACTGTGACTTTACTCATAAATGTTGTAGGTGGAGGTGTAGATGATGACCACCTGCAGGCGCCTTCCTATTGTTTGTGTTCATTGCGCTGTCTCTCTTGATCCGAACCTACACCTTCATGCCCCCAGGCCAACACCTTACGACCGTATCTCAATGCGATACGTGGGACCTTGGATGCGGCACTGTGTCTCCGCAACTTCCCTTCCCAAACTGTGGAAAGGCACAACAAGCCAGAGGTTGAAACAAGGTACGCCAGCAATGCTTGTGGAGAAACACGGTTTTTACGTTTACTGCCAATTACTGCTTTGTACAGCAGTGCAAGTGTAGAATTATTACTCTTCACACCACAGCAAGTGTGGAGATGCAGCGGAAGAGTACCGGCTGCTCGTGCTACTTTCTCGGCGCGCTATTCGCACCCCCTCTTAACCCCTTTAGAATGCACAGAAAATGTGGTGTTCTTGTGAAATTTTCTAAAGCATAAGAACAAGATTACTAAAAAGATGGTTGATTGGATGATGCGGACAGTTCCGGCCCTGGTTGCAAAGTGCAAAGCTAAAGCTGCCTCCGTCTGATGTCTACAACCATTATCAATTGCCCCTCGATTTATCGAGGGGCCTTTGATAGGGATTAGACAACATCTGGTGGGAGCGTGGTAAAGGGGGCACGAAAAGGAGGTTGTGAAGATCTTTCTGTGGAGAGAACGCGAGACGTTCTAAAACCCTAGCTCTCGGCTGCCCGGCGCCTCCTTTCATCGGTGGGCGGGGTGCTTCTTCCCCTCATGCCCCTAGTAGCGCAATCCAGTCAAGCACAGATGAACGCGGCGCAACTTCGCTGTTGAACCTGCGGTATCGTCCCTTGATTGTCCCTTCCACTACAGTACCCTCTTTCTCCCCTCTGCGAAGCACCCACACTACACAGACTATAGTTCTCCCGTTGTACCCTGGCACCCCCATTGTCGAGAACTCTAAAGTTGGAGACGTTTCTTTGCGAGCTGAAGCAGGTGAAAGAATCGGGCCAAAGTGTCACCCAAAATGTCGACCTAGCACTTAAGGGGTTAAACCAATTCAGGACGACTCTATTCGCAACGTTAGTAGGTAGTACGCGCGGGCACATTATATGTTCTACCATAGATGAACCAAAACCAGGCATTTGTTGTCTCGTCTTTGCTTTCGCACCCATTCCCATCATTTGCCACAGCAGCCGTTGCGCACATGGAGGCTGCTGCAAGAACAGCAATGCCCACTCACTCGTAAGAATCGCCTGTACACAGCAAGGCTCAAGGCCTTAGAGTGCCGAGACGTTTGAGTTCAGGCTATCTAAGCTACTGCTGTAAACCTGGTGGGTATTTATGTGTTTCGCAGATGGCTAAGGCTACTTCTTGCGCCACTATCTTGTTTTCCCAACAATCTGAGCCTGGATATGTTGTGAAGGTGTTTTTTTTTAGCGGCCCGGTACTGCAAATCGTGAGGCTCAAGTACTCGGCAAAATTCGTTGCTTTGACTGGCGTACAATCCCGCCTGTCTCTTCGTTAGCAAAGCCCGAGTTTTGATGCTTTGGAAGAGCAGCGGTTTCCCCCCTCGGGGTGTTGTTTCAATGGCTTGCTCTTATCGCTTACAGGAGCAAGCGTGGTGCTTGTACAGGCTCCAACCCCATCAGTACACCCATTACGCATGACACCCCTAGTGCCCTCATGGAATTCTCCCCCCTTCTCTCTCGTTCTCACGCACACATAGATTGTCGGAAACAAACAATACAACCCTCCGACCTGTGCATGCCAAGCGAACGTCCACATTTAAACACGCGATCCTTCATCCTGCAGAATAGCTGCCGAATAGTTGTTTGCTGGTGTTGCCGTGCTCAATAATGTTAGGTAGACCATCTTACTGTAGGTGATAGAACACAGATTCGGAAGTAACACCTGACATGAACACCAAATTCTTGCAGTATGCACGAAGAGGCCTGTTTTGAATCATCAACTTTTGGGCAACACTTTCGGATAGCCCCATTGTGTCCAATAAGTGTGGGAGTTTGAGCAGGATATGGATTCAGCTGTCATGCAGTGTTGTCCAACAACGTTCCAACCCGCCGACTCTTCCACGTCTCAGAATGCTCGAGGCTTGCAATTTATTCCGCTATGTGATTGATCCCCACAACCTGGCTAGCCCAGAGCGGATAGCTTCGTGATAGCCATTTCTTCGTTCAGTCGCCCGGACTCGGAGGAAACCAATCCGACGTGTATGGCAGATGAACGGAAGATGTCATGGTAGCAGTGGTAAGATTTTTTTGCCGCATGCTTTTCTCCTATCGCCAGGCGGTACCATACACAGCTCGCTAGGAATGGCTTGCGCAGCATGACATGAGGCCTATGCACTGCCCTTTCCCCCCGAGGGCTCCCGGATGGTGTTCGATATCTCACGCTGCAGTGATGATCCGCGATTCGAACCACAGCAGTCAAAGTTGATTGCATGCTGCCAGCAGCAGACCGGCGTTCGAGGAGTACCTGTTCTCGCCGCGGCCTTAACGATTTCGTCTGAAGCCAACTTGTTTCAGGCCGGTTTTCGTGCTCGTGGTGGTGATCTTCTACTCCTGGTCTATCTGCACCGTGACCGAGTTTCGGGCGGTTTGGTCAACCCCTGCGGTGACTTGCTCCACCAGTCGTGATTTAATGGGCTTTATCGTTAGGGTTACGGCAGCAATGGCCTGTGCTGGTACTACGGCGTCGATGAAGCTGATGAGAACCCAATCGTTGGAGCGGGGCACGTTTTGGGGGAGAGCCTCCGATGCGACGATTCCCTCTGCAAGCGACAAATCTCGAAAACTGATGGTACAGCATTAGCGAAGGACACATAAAGCAGCGCCGTACAATCTCCCTCGCCGTTACATGTGTGATGCATAACTGGAAAAATTCTGTCTTATTCTACCGCAGGTCGAGCAAAGAACTTCTTCTCAACCCGGTGACGATTTGCCGGAATGAACAAGAGAAATGCCTCATCGAAACAAGCGTCAACAGCGTGCGAGTTAGCATTGCTGTTAAGCAAGCTGACGAGATCGAGACGATTCTGTGCCACAAGTTCACGAGCTTCTTGATGCAGCGTGCGGAGCAATTTGTGGTGATGCGACGAAAGCCTGCCGAGGTTAGTATTATCGCAACCGCAACCGTATTTTCCTCTCGTCCGCCGGATAGATGCGTCGCGAACCAAAAGGGTGTTGCTTGGCCTAAAGAGGTGAATGTTCAGTGTATTTGTGATGCACGTGGTGGAAGCTCTGCGCATCTAGTTTAACACGATGATACGATGGAGGTTCTTCGGCGATATCAATCTAATAAGTGCTTGTTCACCCACGTCTCGCGTGATTCGATAGGGATTCGACATCAGCTTCCTCGTGACTCACTCGCACCTGGAGAAGCTGTGGAAGCATAAGCTGATCGATTTCATCATCCAGTTCATGGAAGACATCGACAAGGAGATCAGTGGCATGAAAATCGCCATCAACGCGAGGGGAAGAATAATTGCACAGCAGTTCATGCTTCAGTTTGTGCAGTGACATGAGCGTCTTTCGTGCCTCTTGGTTCGAAATACCGTTTAGTCGGGATTCACCGGCAAGAATGTTTTTTTATGCGTTTGCCCCAATAAGCGGAAGAGCGTTTTGCAGATAATTGGCAGCCCTGGGCTCTCATGTGTCGATGTTTGCACAAACCCGTGCACTGTCTCTACTGCGTTGGCGAGTTGCCGACGCAGGTCGTGTATGGTTCGCGAAACGATGTAACAAGAATTGCGGTGGATGGCGATGTTTTGACATTTTGTCGGTTCATTTTTCTCCTAAAGCATCAACTGCAACGGATAAAACGTACGAGCGTTCAGCGTAGTTGAACGCCGGCGATGCAAACCTAACGCGCTTCGGTCCTGCGACTGGCTCGTCAAATGATGAGGCGCAGAACATTTTCTAATGCGACACTAACACATTCACGCCTATCATTGCAACGGATATTAAAATAACGGTTATCCTCGTAGTACCCTTGGCCAACCTAAATGCGAAACACCCTTTCTACCATTGCCTCTCTTGAACGAACGAGGTACAGCCTCGAAACAATATTTGGAGCCTACCAGTAGAAGGTCAGCACGGGATGAGATGAAAGCAACAGAAATGAAGAGCGGCGTCTCACTAAATGCACTCCCATCTTTTGGTTCATTGACGATGCTAAACGCGGCAAAGACAAAAACTAACACTTCCACCATCCAAAGATTTGGCGATAGAAAGATGATTGTGACCCCCCTTCCGACAAGACCGAACGATCAAGTTCCGAGCGGCCATGCGTTCGCCTTGATTTCTGGCTTGGGCGGTACACGCAAAGTCTCGCCCACTTGCTCCGCATCGTGCTGCCTCCGCCCCTCGCCTTCCAAAAACAAGAGACGAAATAGGGGGCAAAGTGTCGAGCGGGAAACGAGTTATCAACAGGGCGCTCGGACGTGCTTCAACTTTCCAAGGGGTACATACTAGCGTAGAGGGTTGCTATCCGCACGATGTCCATTCGTGCTTCAACCCGCGAATGCAAAGTAAGACTGTCTTGAAAATCCATTCCATCTCTTAGGGCAAAACAATTCCATCCACCCTTGGATTTATTGTGGTTAACACCTCATGTCGTCAAAGTAGACCTTTATCACCGCTCGTGCACCTGACACAGACCGCGGCTTGCCATAAAATCACCAGGAAGCCGTAGGCACTGCCATATTCTGCCTTCCAAGGAAATTCACGCCTTGTATTTATTAAAGCCTCTTCTCTCAGCATTCTGCACGAAATTTCACGCGGTAGGGCCGCATCGAAAGACTAGACGCGCTTGGTATACTGTCACAACAGTGAAGCACTTACGCACAGAAAGCACAGCACAGGGATGCAGAATTTGGATCATTTGCAGCAGCTATCATTGAAACATTAGTTGCGGAACAGTTTCACAAAATCACCCCAATGATACTAGTATCTAGTTCCTCGTTCAGACAAGGTGGGGATCAGAGCTTTTTGGTGAAAAGGTCCGGGTTGAGAACGGACGTAACACATCACCTCTGCCTAGTGAACGTGTAGGTTGACTCGTAACAAAATTGCCTTCCCAAACGGAAAAGGCCGTGGGAGATTCCGCAACACAGCATCTTTTTTGTAGATTGAAGAACGAGCGTGTGTTTTCACGCAATTTTGTCCACAGCCAGAGCGTCGTCCCGAGTTCGACGTGCTTGAGGGAAACAAATCATATCGTCAACCCGTCGAACGTATCTATGTCCGGATAACAAGCAAACCAACGTTGAGAATGAAAGCGATATTTTGCTGAATCCAACCTGTAGCATGATGATAGCGTGCGAACGCAAAGAGTATGACGTAGTCCTAGAGGGTGGAGTGATTGATATTGGCAACAGCTGTTTTATGAAACATCGCTAGATATCCTATCCTGTTACGATCAGCAATGGAGTATGGTCTCCTTCAAGTCACGTCACGTCAAGCACCTGTCGGCCTGTCGTCCGCTTCCGTCATTTCCTCGTCCTCTTCTGGCATCCGCAACGTAGCCGGGGTTTTGACCTCAGCACCCGTTTCAATCGGAACCCCGGGGACAGCTTCGAGGGACCGAAGGATCTCGAACAGCTGGATTTTGGTCTGTGGTACCAAAGCACGACGGGGAAATCACATGTTTCGTTAGAACGGTGTGTCAGTCCCTCACATGGTACGCATGTGTCGGGCTGTGACGGTGTAAGCGTACATCAAGTTGCACGGCTACAAGTGGTACTTGACATGGTCCAAGGTCAGTGAGACCTGACACATGAAACGAGTGTGATTAGTACCAGCTGGCATCACTGATACCTTAAGCTAAAACAGGCTCAAAATAGCCCAGCATCCTACGGTTTTGCTCCCCCGCTTACTGCGAAGATTTCAATACCCTTGGACCGTGGTGTTATATCCAACGGGTAGAGTCTTTCAGTGAATTTATGGTATCTTCCAATTGGTATCTTCTAAGTAATAAATCGACCTGAATCGGGAGCTTGTCTCTGCATGCTACACACTCGACCTTCGGTCCGTCGACCGAAGGAGCGGCGAGGGTACATTACGAAGAAACACCAAAAAGCGCTCCCGATTTAGCTCGATTTAGTAGAAGATATCATACAATCAGTGAAAGACTCTACCCGTTCGAAGGGGGGGCGAGTGTGTAGCATACAGAGACACCAAAAAGCTCAGCTCGATTTAGTACTTAGAAGATACCATCCCTGAAAGACCCTACCCGTTGGAGATATAATACCACAGTCGAAGAGTATTGAACTTCGCAGTAAGCGGGGGAGCAAAACCCTGCACGTATTTTGAGCCTGTTTAAGCGCATGCACTGAAGGTATCAGTGATGCCAGCTGGTACTAATCACACTGCGGCATGACGCAGAACCTCTCGAGTCCAAAACATAGCGCAAGCGAGCTCCCGGTCCCCTACTTGATGCCACGGTATCTCTAAATTTTGTGGTTGAAAATGCCCATCGTTTTCTATACGATTGATTGCATCCAGTGGCGGCAATACAAATACCTTCAGGTGTTACTTGTCCGGTGCCTTCGAAAGTGCGTTCTTAGAAACAAGTGTGAAAAACTTGGCAGGTCAGCTTCCACGTACCCAAGCACCCGCACAACAGTAGTTCCAAACGAACGATGTTTTCAGCTGGCTTTGGAATCTTCGAAAGGTACCCCATCCCATCAACCAACCCACCTCCTCCAGAGTTTCCCTCTTGTTCATGTCCTCCATGTTGGACGTAGGCATGTGCAAGCGGTAGTCGGGGCCGTAGTACTCGAAGTAATCGTTGTATGGAAGCATGTCCTGCAACGCGGCGGAACGGGGGCGATACTGTCAAAACATAAGGCCAAACGGTTTGATTGGTGGGACCCATGCCGTGTGTCGTACAAAAGGAGTACGAAAGAAAACAGCACGTACGTGTGCCATCCAGCGTTCAAGTCCACTACAATCGAGCTTGACATGTGTAGGTCTCGCTGAAGAAGAGCAAATATATCGTTGCCCGTTGTTTTCCCGCTGAACGCGACGGCTACATGAACACCAACCGAATGCGTGCGCCCCCTTGTGGTACCATTCTGCTTACCGACGGCTCAGTGTCAAGAAGTACTCCAGTTTCGTATGCCCAGCAGCGCGGCACGTTGCGAAGCGTGTAGCCTCCTCCACCAAGCACCAATAGCGGCACATTGAAGCTTTTCACGTATTGCACGCAATCAGCGTGGCCCTTGAGCGAGAGGTTGAAGCAGCCAAGACGGTCACCTGAGAGGGAGTCTGCTCCGCATTGCATTACGATTGCCTCCGGCGAGTAGTGCTCCATCACCTTCACAACAAGCAAGGTTGTACATGTCAGAACGAAATTGTGAGTGCCAAACATCCACACAATCGAGATTCGGTCACGCAACTTCCACGAAATTCTGGCCGACGATCCATGGTGAGTGGACGATAACGGCTCCCTTTCCAAGAGAAAAGCGGAACAAGAACTAATATTGGCGAGAATGGAGGCAACAGCGCTAGTGCAGGGTGCAAACGCACGGTGGCAAGCTCTGACACATACGAGGCACTTTGGGTGAGAAAATATATACCTTTTCGATGACTGGCCTGAAGATACTTCGGTAGCTCTGATCGTTGATGCCGTCTGCCAACGGGAAGTTGATTGCGTAGTTCTTCCCCTGCGCCACGCCTGTAAAAGGACCAACGTCAAAGCAGGCAACGCAAAGAAAAATTGAAAATGCAGGTGAACTCACGAGTGTACCATGCCACCTAAAATTGAACATCAAGTGCTGCTCGCTAGCGACGAAGACATTGCAAAAGGGTGGATGGACAGTAGTCAAGTCGTGGCTCGCATCGCACATGCCAACAAACAATGCAACCTCACCAACATCTTTGACGTCGCCCGTGCCAGGGAAATATTCTCCAAACTTGTGGAAAGACACCGTCATGACCCGGTTCGTCGTGTAGAAGGCCTCCTGCAAACAGTACGCCACACAGAAAAATGTAGAATACGGTTCAAAAAATACACATTTGGCTCTCTAAACACACCCAACTGCTCTACGCCTCGGCGTAAAAACCAGCAAATGCCGAGTAGGTAGAATGTGCATGCCTTGTGACATTTCGACAGAACTCAGAGTCCTACCGTGATCGAGCCCATCGTGAAGCAGTTTGCACCAATCGTTCCAATAGAAATAATGACCACCGTGACGTTGCCAACTATGGCGCAGTCCGGAGTGTTAGAAAGAGCACGTGTAATACAAAGTAAACAACGACGTGATAATTTTAACCTCGAACAGATATCGCACAATGGCACAATGTGCAGTCAGTATCTCTCGGAACTCCACTTCGATGTGCGTAGTACCACGAGGTTATGGACACTTCTTCAGTGCTAACTACGCTAGGGTTAGGATATTCATACCGGGAGTCCCACTAGCGCATCGCACCGTGAAGGCGCACACGAAGAAATGAAAAAACTTCCATTAATCGGCATTCATCGACAACCACTAGATCTGTCAGCAGCGCAATTACCGCACCCTACAACGCGCCGATGCACGGTACTACCTTTACCGCTTCGGAGGACAAAAAGAAACGAGGGGATCACTCACTCCAAAAGAAGTTTGCACGCACATGTGGACAAATTCCAAGCAGGCAAACGCGTAGTTGGACATTGCACATCCCAAACCCAACTCGCACTGCAGACATCAACACATTGGCGGGAAGCTTGTTAGCACCGATTTTCACCGCGAATGGCAGGATTTCGAAAATTCGCCGCGATTTCATTATTCACCGACGGTTTACTGTTTGATTTGTGGTGTTGTGTGCTCTTCGGAGCTAACGCACAAGGGACGTACGTGAAAATGCCACCCCATGGTAAAAACATATGCACTTGTGCCATCATAGCTCGCAACCCTTCCGGAAATAAAATCACCTCCACGCCGTCTCCATGGTGAATGTCGATGTCGATGTACAGCACACGCTGATGTGTCTTGAGCAGCTCTAGAATTGCCAATACGCAGTCGTTCACGTAGCAGAACCCAGAAGCCTCACTCTTCACAGTCAAACACACGAGTGAACGATGCACGGGCAACTTGCTGAGTCGAGGATATACCGTGCGTGGGCGGCACTACACCGCCATAGGCGACGTGCTCGCCATTGCAAGCCATACAGAAACGACGACTGCGGATAAGCTAAACCCACCACCACCATAAAGAACGGATTCAAGCGAGCTACTGGTTTGGCACGACGGAAAACTCAAGAAGTCCTCTCTCAAGTAGCCAAGCTCGAGAAAATCACGCTTTGAGTTGAATTGAGCACCATAGATGTATACTGCTGCGTGTGCGAAGCCGACAACCTGCATCCACCCCCGCAGACTTGAACCAAGCATCTCTTAAACGTAGCCGCTATTGTTGTTGGTACGAGATATTTTTGGCTGGCATGAAACATATCGGAGAGGAACTTCAAAAATTAACGAAGCCCACCGAACATCGGTGGAACGCCTTCGTGAGAAAATAAGTTCATGAGGAAAAAGAAAAGGCAGGGGGTACGTCGACCCTATCCCTATCCCTAACCCTAACCCGACTTCCCTCATTGCATGCTTTATTCAACATGTTTAATAAATATATTAACCTTGCGGAGGCTGCTGACATCGGTGGGGGGGGGTGGGGGTGAGATACACAAAATACTTGTTCCGAGCTCCAAACAGGTCGTAGCTTTCGTCCCCGGGAACGATTAGACGCCAACCGCTAAGATTAAACCTTGTTAGATTTGACGAGGACAAGATTTCGGTCACAAGCTGACGATACTATGGGCGATTTGGGGTGTCCTCACCTTCTTCGCGTGGTGCAAGCCCCCAGCCCAGTTGATCACCACGTCCGACTGCTTGTTATTGAGCCGGATGGCTCCACCGATGGAGCCGGACGTGTACAGCTGGCAGAACTCGAAAAGCCCATCGAAAACGGGGCAGTCTTCGCCGACGTTAAAGCGCTGCAGCTGAGTGTAGTTGTGCTTTTGCACCAGGCATGGGAAAAGAACAGCGGGGCGGAGCGGGCTGTCGCTAAACACACAAACCCGACAGCATGTCAAGCGAGCGCCGCACGCGCCATTCACACATCGTCCTTTGTTTTTTACCGCAAGAACTCAGATACACACTACAAAACTCAAGACCCAGCGAGACATGCAGCCTTTCCGCTCAGCACCTTTGGACAAAGGGGAACCCGTCAGAACGTCGTTGATCAAACCCCCTCCGCGTTGGGGGAGGTACACCGCAGCAAAAAATATTCAGGCTGCGCCTATGATGACGAGCATGGAAGGAGAGCGTGCAGGATGGTTGATGATTCAGCCGTCGGGTTCAGACTACTATAATATTACTTAAAACAGAGGATCAATTTGTGTCATTAGCATCGGGCAGAACCAGCTGACAAATGAGAAGACATCAGTCCTATGCTAACTCGGAGGCGTTTCTCGTATGTACTCCTTCGTAGTATTGTAGCTGCTTCAGAACACAACCGGCTGACCATGAACGTACGATCGTAGTGCTCGCGGGACAACAAAGCACCAAAGCGCGTGTGTGTCTTACAGTACGCTTCAACTCACCCAAATATCATGTATACCTGCATGTTGTCTTGTGTTATGACCCGTAGGAAGTTGATGTAGTCATCGGAGTGGAAGCGAGTCATGTGTTGGCTGCTGATGGGCTTCGGCCGAAACACCTCCATCTGGCGGTATAAACCGTAGTTTACCACCAAGTTATGGGTCATACGAACACGGTGCGGTTTCATGGGGTGCCCTTGCCCGTAGTGGTAGTTCCCGATCTCGGCTGCAAACGAACGAAGACGGACAAGGGCTATGCTGTTAGCGTCAACGTCAGGACGCATGGGTACACCAGGTCAGGATCCCATCTGGCTGAGTTCGCAGACAAGGTACCCACCCCCACGTTAACGTTTGAAGTATTGGCGCCAAAGGTGCAGTAAATCAAGAGATTGCCGTTGTTTTGGGAATCAAGAGAGACCCAGGCTGTGTGGTACCAGGTGTTGTAGTTCAGCCCAGAGCAGGGGGCGCAACACTCGCTTCGCGAGCGCACGGTCGGTCTACGGCGTGCTGCGCTGTACATCTGCTACCGGCTGCTTGCTGTCACTCTGGGATTCTCGCCTTTCCTCTCTCGTAAACTTGGGTCCAGTTGACAGCATTTCATATATATAATAAAAACGCCTATCAACATTCTACACATTGGCGCCTCACCATCATAGAAGTAGGACACTCTTCTCTTGTTCCCTCCCGTGTTTGATGGAAGAGACGCCATCCGCTCCCTCTCCGCTACCCCTAGCAGCGCCGCCCGTAGAGCAAAGGTTTGTCCCGCCAAAATACGCCCAGAAGCAGGTACAACTTGGTGTCGAACTTCTTTTTGCCTCGTTGGATCTAGGAGATGAATCTGTCCGTAAGTGAGCTCCCCCCCCTCTCGCTATTTTTGTCCAGCAGCGGTCCCCTGCCCTGTGTGGCAGCCGATCCCGGGGTGCCTGTGTGCGAGGGGGTCAGAGCTAGCGCACCGATGGGTATGGCGAAATCCTGTATGTGTGGCCCCGCAACGTTCTTAGCAGTCTGTGCGATATCTCGCTGGCTCTCATGACGGCGGCGGCATGGAATGCTTTGCGGTGAACGTACAAGATCCGCAAGGAATGCTAACAAAGGTACGGTGTTGGGGGTCATATTGCCACGCGCAGACAAAGAAGAAAGAGGCATGCGGCATGGCCATGAACCATGAACCCTCGAAACCTCTTTCGTAGAAAACACAACTTTTCAAAAAATGCAACTCGCTCGGATTTGTTCCGAGGTGGAACGATTCATGTACACGCACATCCACGCAAGTGGACGTATGTTAGTTTGGTGCCGACCCCGCCTCTCGTGTTGGATCCAAGTGTTTTGTACCACGTTGCCACATTAGAGGGCGCCTCCTTACAACGTTTCCCATTACGCTTCTACCTCCTCTGAGGAGAACTAAAAGAGTGTTCCTTCGCGGCAAGACGACGGTAGTAGGTAGTCACACGACTAAATCTAGTCTACGTACGTTTTGTGAAGACTAGACTACTACTGCTGACATAGCAGTTACTTGTTGTGGGTCCTCGAACAATTGCAGATCTGTGTGCGCAGGCAACCAAAGGTGCGGACCAACCGCACACCACGACAGTATTGCGGTATTCTTGTTTGCTGTTGAACATTTTACAGCAATGTGTGTGTGTAGAGGTGCAGACCAACCCTCCAACCACGACAGAACCGTAAACTACACAAGATAACACACCCACATAAGAAACCACACCCCCCATAGAATACGACACCCCGGTGGTAATTTTCGGCATTTCTGACAAACCATCGATTTATCACCCGGGCTACGTAAGATAACACACCCCGTGGTTACGCCGCATACATTCACGGGGGCCCTCCTTCTATCACCGGGGTGATACATCATCTGCCCCGTGGGCATCGCACACTGCTGTCACACGGTAGTGGTTTGTGGTCTTCGACTTTTGGTGGTGGTTTCTTTGCGTAATTTTGTTTTGGTCGTACCCGATGATAGCAAGGTAGGTATGTATGCAGCAGCCACTTTTTTGTTATGGGGCAGGATGGCGCACTCTGGCCACGGCCTCGCATCATATCGGACAAGGTACCTTCGATTAAATTTTCATTTTTCATGCTCCATCAAGCGATGGTTGCTGACGTTATTTTGTTTGAAACTTTCTTCGGTGTTGAGGGGGTTGAGTCATCACCGAGATCACGTGCTCAGGAGTTTCGTCACCTACCTCCGTTGAGCCCCTTTGTTTTACCACATCCCCGCAGAACCACACTTCAAGTTTGCGGCACCCCTTCAAGTGTGCGGCAGCAGCGGTTCGACTCTACAAGCAGTGTTATCACCCCCCCTTTTTATCACCCCCCCAAACAAGGGTCTAGAAGTGTACGGAATGTTGAAAGAAGGAATAGGGTTCAAGGATTACCTACATGGACCAATGGATGCAGGGACAAAGCTTAAGGTCAAATTCAGGACCGGGGACATAGGCCTTCGCGAACGTCGACGAAGACATAGGACGGTAGACGACGAAGACGATAAGTTCAAATGCGATTGCGGCTTCGAATGCGAAGACAGTGTTCATGTAGTCGCGGAATGTCCGTGGTACGAAAAGGAGAGGGAAGTGTACATGACTGAGCTGGGAAGAATACAAGTGACGTACAGGGAGATGTTTGAGGCACGGAATAGAGAGGAGAGGACGGTAGCGGTACTGGGGAGTAGAAAGTGGTTTGAAAAGGCGGGAAGGGACATCGGTAGGATAGACAAACTAGGGAAGACATTTTTGAGCCACCTTTGGCAAAGTAGGAAGGAACGATTGGCCATCGGTGATCGGTCCTGTGGGAATAATGCTCCGTCCTCTCGAGGACGCGTGGTCAATGGTCTAACCGCTAAGGCATGCAAAACATAAGAGTACGCCCCCCCCCCCCCAAACACACACCCTGTGGGTGTTCGGAGTTGCTATCACACCCCCTTTTTATCACACCCCCTCATTTATCACCCCCTCAAACACACCTTGCGGGTGTTCAGACTGACTGGCTATCACACCCCCCTTTTATCACACCCCCTCATTTATCACACCCCCAAACACACTCTGTGGGTGTTCGGACGTGCTGTCACACCCCCTGGTTTATCACACCCCCTTAGGTGCCCCTGCGAGCTGCACTTATCACCCGGGCTACATAAGATACCACACACCCCACAGGATACCACCCCCGGTGATAAGATTTTTAAAGCCAAAAATGTATCACCGGAGGGGTGTTATCTTGTGTAGTTTACGGTATGCTGCATGTAGCGTTTTTGCTGTTGGGCATTTTACAGCTGCGCGGCAAGGGGTCGGAACTGGTCCTTTGATGCATCAATCCTCCGTATTGTTGCTTGATTCTTGCAGAAGGCACGCCCCCGTAATTGCACGCACTCCTATAGTACACGTATCCTCTAGACTAGCCGCCTTTATTTCTTGCGCTTTTTCCCGCGTGACCCTTCGCTCGCTCCACGAGCTGTCATATGCATATAAGTGATACATCGTTTGGTCAAAAGATGTATGCATAGCCCACCGAATTCCTGGCCGTCTCGATGGTCCTCTGGTTCTACGCAGCAGTGATGTATTCATACCAGTCTGGTGGTCTGCGAACTGTTATCCAACGAGCGGCTGTCACCCGCCAATTGTAAGGTATCTCTCCTGGGCCGAGGCCCCCCAATGCCCTTCGAATTTACTTCTGTAGTATTTGTGGAAGCGTTTAACCCTGCAAACTGCCGTTTCATGTAGTACAAGACGCATTCTGTACAGCAACGCAGACACACCATGAACACCCAAATGCCTGCCTGCGTTTCGTTAGGCTCTTCTTGTGTATCCGGGAATATCTGGCAGCGACGTTCAACAGGCGTTGAGAGCTGCGTTTTCGCTCCCAGACAAGGTGAAGAACACAGTTGTACATTTGAAGGTTGTGCAAACATGTACTAACAAGGCAGTCGGGCCGCGCACTGCATATTGAGATTCGGTCATGTCTGACGGGAGGCTAACATGTGCATGTTTTCATCGGCAGCCTCTCTACCAACGTCGACCAGTTTCGATATGTGGCGGTGCTGCGCCGAACTTTGATCGCCGTTGTTTGCGTTTGTTCCTCAGTACACAGCTGATATTTTATTCACTTCGTTTGCAACACTTCGTACTGCGTGCAATCAAGGTGGCGGGGCTCGTGGATCCGTCTCTCGATACTTATTTTCCAGTCAGCTTCATTTCCAGAGCGCCAAAGTATTTTTCGGAGCGGGCCCCATGCCGCATTGTCCCTGTGCTTGGAGGTACTGCAAAGCAGGGGCGTGCGACGGGGAGGAAAGACAAAATAGAAGCAAGCGAGTCAGGCTGCAAGGATACCTTGGAAAATATTCTCCAAGATTTATTTTCGGCACATGCCGCAGTACAACAAGTGGTACCCGATGCACCCAGGACCACGGTGAGAATTGGATGTGCTCGGAAATGTACGTTGCTCGGAATGTATACGTGGATGGCACATGGCAAGGTGATTCCCTCTACTGCCGTCCCTCGTGCGATAGCTATCATTTTATATATCAATCAAGTCAAAGCGTTCAAGCTGCATACATGTAACACTCGAAACATGAAATGCAGGTGGACACAGGTTTGGCGGTGCTAAGAAGGAGATTGAGACTCTTCGCGTTTCCCGCAGACAAAGTTTTGGATGCTCTCTGTGCCACTGCAGCAAGTGACGGGAAACTGACCAGGTCTGTGCCAGATCGCTGAGATTGATCCGCAACTTAATTCTTACTTTCGATGTGCTGATCTTGCTGGGATAACCCACCTCTTCGGAAAGGGTTGCAATCTCGTACGCTTACCTTGCTGCATTTCTTTCATTTTTCCGTGGACACGAAACCGCCCACGGAAAGAATCGATCCCTTTAGTCATGCCAGGGAGCTCCATCTTACAATCGTTGAGTCCTTCCCTCTCACTTGTCGGGCGTCCTCAGAGCCGAGTTCGATGCCGACTTGAAGCACTTGGCGAAAAATCTCGGCATTGAGGCCCTGTCCACGACCCGCGCGATATTTGGTTTGTTCGACGACGGGCGAGGGGGAATCCTTCACATCCAAGATTTGGCTGCAGGGCTGACAGTGCTGTGCGATGCGAGTATGGCACAATTTGTTCAGTGCGCTTGCCGATTGTACAGAGGGCCTGATGGTGATTCCGGGTTCGACGACGTTTTTGGACTCACCCTCTCGATTCTCAAGGTATGTGCCTGGTAGCAACACCGCGAACTGTACACGATCCGCTTGCCACCGGTTGTACGAGTCTATCGCACTCGGATTTCCTGGTTGACGCGGCGTGTGCCGCTCAACACAACCATGCAACGAAGATATTGCGGAGACGAACAAGTTTGATCCCTGCTGCACTTCCAGCACTTTTAATAGAAGAAACCTGGATTTTTCTCCCGTAGGTTCTCCACGCCTCTGGCCGCGCAGACTGGCCTTGGCCAGGGATGCTACCGCACGAGGTCTCCGCCGTTGTTTCATCGGACTTCTTCCTTCGCAAGGGATTACCACTGAGTGGACGCGTTACGATCGACTGGTAAGAGCCCACCGCCCTTTCGACGCCTGACAATCGACCATTCGTTTGTTTCTTCCTCTGTGTTTGCAGCCCCCTAAGTTGTGGAAGATCCACGAAGTTATGCTTATGCATGTCTCGGATTGCCTAGATATCCAACAGGAAATGTGTTTGCATCTCAAGTATCGGGTCTTGCATGCATCTGTTGGTAGTGTCAAGCTGAAGACAGAAGAAATCTATGCGATGCGAGACTTCAAGCCATGATTCCAACGCCCGCCACCAGTTGAAGTAAGGTTACTAACATTCCCCTGCTTGGTTCAGGTCGGCCTTTGCTGCCCTGGAGGAAACCGAAAGGAGCAGTGAAACGGCAGGCGGCGGGTGTTGGGGACACTTACTGCAAGGTCTTCGGAAATACGACATCACGGTTGTTCTCGGATTGTTGTCGGCGTTCGTGGACCAGAGCGGCGGAATTTCTCGACCGGCTTTTGTTGGATGCATGCGAGCTTTGTTCGAGGTAAGCTCGTTTTTCGTAAAGCCCCCTGTCGACGCATGTTGCCGAGTCGAAACAGCTTCATAAGGGGCAAAGCAAATTCTCATATCAGTGTAATTCATTCCCTTTGTGACCCGGATATGTCCTGCGCGTGTCTGCCTGGTGTGTACTGGTACAGGAGGACGGGTGCTGCGTCCTTTCCGCCGCGGAAACGATGGAGCTCAAGGTAGGGATACATGACTTCCTCTTAGCTCCCTTTGGCTATCGTCAACACGACATGCAAGAAGAGCATCCTGAGTGTCCTGTTAGATTGGAATATGTTAGATTGGAATGTGGTTGTGACCTGGCAAGCCGTCTATTGTATGTAGTAACTAGCGTAGGGAGTGAATCCCACCGAAGCGAGCTCTGCCTGCTGCTCGTACCTGGTACTGAAAGAGCGCTTGCTCGTGAGTACACTCGAAGCAACGAACTGCTGAAGCTGTTCTCGAAGAAAAAAGGAGGGAAGCGTCAGAGAAGTTCCTCGGTGTGGCCCCGGGTGGGAGCTCTTCATTTTGCAGCAAAACCATACCCTAGGCAGAAAACTTCGAGCAAAGGTCAACAAATGGGATTGCGAAAAAATATTCATGAAAAGAAAAAGTGATGCGCAACTTCGAGATGGCCAATCTTAGCGCGGTAGGGAGCATCTTGCCACTGTCGCCTCCTGCATCCCGCCCCACGACAGGATGGAGGGCACTAGGTACGTAAAGACTGGTATATCTTAGTTTGTTTTTCTGTCGTCCATGCGCCTGGCGTTTCCGGGGTGTTGGCAGATAAGTCTAACGCGACTGTACCAAGTTTTAGACGGCGATCGAATGGAGACCGTGGCGTTCAGAGATCTGGCCAGGTGAGCGATGGAGAAAAGAACCTTCGTTGTCACGTACGGTAGCGCTAGATGGGCCAGGCTGCCCGTGTCTCACTACTCGCGAAGGGGGCAATGTGGCAAGGGATGCTTCCTCCACTTACCCATTCAGGTCCAGGCGGAAATCTGATTTGTTTGTAATTTTTCACCAGGGATCTATCCCGTTGGGACTGGCCCTCGCAGCTTGTCACTTGGATTTGAGGTAGTTTTGACCCAAATTCCCTCAATTGACGGCCATAAAAAAGCAGCGGTATCAGTTTATTCTGTGGAAACATCAACGATGCAAGTATCCGGGCGATGTTCGAAGTCTACGGGACTGCGGCGGGCTCCATCACACGAGACTGTATGCGGAAGTTTCTACAGGCGGTTTTCAAGGTGCGGCCACGACTCGATCTCCGATTGTCGCACAAGAGGTGTTCAAATAAGACATTGAGTCATTCACTCGTATGTGACCGGGGTGTTTCAGCAACCTCGGCGTCATCGTCGATGCCCTTGTTTCGCACTCTCTCAGGTATTGTTTCGCGTGGACCCGGGAGCACGGGTTCTTACGGGGAATGGCGGAAGGGGAGAGCGCGTGGATCCTGCATATTTAGCTGAAACCGCCACTGCTCATGTGTTTGAGGATGCGGTTTTGAACCCAGATGGGACGCTGGGCAGCGAAAAATTCCACCACTGGTACTCAAGGTAGAGCAACACAAGGGCAGGCAAATGAGCGAAATCTTCTTCTTTGTGCCGATCGAAGAATGCAAGATATTTCTGGGAAAAAGGTTTTGGCTATGACAAAGAAGTGCGTGTGGGTGACACACTCGTTGGAGCTCTCTTCGCTCGCTACATACCTGGATTTCTGTTTATGAGCCCGTGTGTCCCCACCGCTGTGTCATACCATGTTTTATACGCGCCGAACAGATTCGTCCGGGCACCAGTAACTTCGGGCGTGAGGGAAATACGTTCCATGAACTGGGCCGAATCACTTCACAACTTGGGCGCAGTTGCATGCTGTGTGAGGGTTTCGTTGACACCTTTCCTCCGTTTCTGCTGTGGCCTGGCGAGTTCCCGACCTCTCATGGAAGAATCTCGCACAGCAGCAGCGACGGAAAGGAGAGACTTGGACGTGAATGATGAGAGAATAGAGCGGAACGTCGACCTTCATGCACGGGTAAGCGGGTTAGTGGTGAGAGACGTTTACGGCGTCGTTGACATGTGCCAAATACCAGCCTGGGTGCCCATCTTGTATGTGTTCCCCATGCTTCCGTGCAAATTTTGGCGCACTCCGACCTTGTTGTATATTTTAATATGCTGCAGCTCCATTCGAAAGCGCATCCGAGCACAAGCACTGCGGCGAACTCGAATGAGGCTTCCTGGACGGAACCGGATGAGTTGCGGGGTGAGCTGGAAAAACTTGCTGAACGCTCGGCCAATGGCTCGTCCTCCAAGGAGGACACAGGGGGAGAAGGTCGCCCGTGCAAGGGAACTCTCGATGAGGTCGAATCCCCTCTTTCGGTGGGTGTTGCGCGATTCCGAACCCCCATTGCCCGTACGGATCACACCCAGCAAGTACGTTTTGGTGTGCTTTTCCTTGGCATCATCGTACTGCTGCAGGACCAGAATTATGTGTTGCATACCAAGTGCTACGCTACGAACTAACATGCACCCATGTGCTCGAGGTTCTATATTCACTATTTCTATGTGAAGTAATGTGTATGTATGTGTATGTATGCGATCTGCGGTAGTGAATTTATGGCGCAGTAGTATATGTATTCCTGCAGAATTTTCTCACGAGAGCCACCCAACCTCTCGTGGTCACTTGACGGGGCGACGGCGCTACAGACACTTGACAGTGGGAATCGAAGGGTACCTCGCTTGCATGGGCTTTGCACCTCGCTGCATCGCTCCGCAACGACACACGATGTGTTTCTAGTGTTTCTAGTGATTGTGTTGGGTTTCGCTTTGCTCTGCTTTCTCTACCTCTACCTCTCGTTGGGCTGCAACACGCCGTCGGCCCTACCTTTGTCCCGTGGATCTCTCCCGTAGGAGAGTTTGGAGCAAGCGCGGCGAGTCACGCGGTTGTGCAATACCTCAGTTGCGCAGGTTGTTGTAGTTTTGAAAGACTTCGTGAATGACGGAGGACGCTTAGCAAGACAATCGGTTCATCAATGCATTCGCCGTCTGCGCACGGCGATCGAAAACGAGAGTCGAGTTAGGGAGACGGTCGGGGAGTACGAAGAAAATGCTCGCGACCAAAGCTACAGCTCAGCGGCAGCACACCATGTCATCAATCGCCTGTTCGATGCTGTTGATGTACACAACGCGGGGGACGTCAATTTCTGCGAGTTTGCAAGCGCTCTGTCGGTACGTCTGTGTTTTACTTGATTTATAAAGTCCTAGCTCTGAACATCTCGAGCGCGACGGTTGTTGAGAGTGGTTTAGTTTGGTGACTACGCTTAACCTGAGTCGTGCTGTTAGATTATGTCGATGCTCATGATATCTGATGCAAGCAGCGTCCGAAGATACTGCGTTTGTATGCTTCACACCAAAGTGAGGTAGCTCAATCTTTTGGCTTATGTGTGAGTTGCTCCACGTGCCCCTGGGGTTCGTTGAATTCGTTTTGAAAACCCGGCACATTGGTAGTTGGACACATAAAAAAAGTTGAAAGCAACAGATATAGGTGTGATATTACTACCATGCGACAACCATTCTGTAGCGCCACGACGATCTCAACTGGCAGGTTTTGTGCGGAGATACACGACAAGAGAAAATGCGAGCGATTTTCAATCTGTTCCTGGGCGGTGAAGAATGCGGGATTACCGCACGAGATATTGCAACATATACCACGTCCGCGTTTCGCGCCATGTACAAGCTGCAGCCAAGCCTCGAGGGAGAGGTGGGAACGAGTTGTTAGTTTCGTCAAAGGGATCAAGTACAATTGTTTCCACTCCGAAACACTACCGGTGCGAAGCTGCCCGATCTGGCTCGTACTCAAATTTCCAGCTGGAGCTAGCACTTCCGCAATATTGCGTCAGATCTCTGTGTGGATCATACAGTATCCCGCAACAGACACTTTTTTCTCAATCTTGCACTGCTTGTCGTACTAGCAGGTGGGGATCGCTCCAGAGGCATTGGGTATCTTGACAGCATCGAATATGATGGAGGAAGCATTGCGGAATGGCGATGGTCGAATATCTCCAAGGGACTTCAGTGGGTGGCTGTCCGATGATGGTAATCCACACGGTGCAGAAGGGTTTGCGCGTGATGCTGAGCCACTGGAGCCACCGGGCATTGAAAAGGCGGGCGAAGATGATGCGCGGCCGGATGAGGATGTTGCACTTCGCGGTGATAGGGAAGTAGGGCACGCAGACGGTGCAGGCTTGTCGCGGAAGCAGCATATTGTAATGCGCGCGAGAAAGTTACTCTGCCTGGACTGCTTCAACGTGATGGAACTCATGGAAATATTGGCGGAAGTGACCGTGACGGTGAGTCGTGAAGATCCCCCCCCCTATTTTGCGGGCCTCGTCATATGTGCCCCACCCATACCTCCGACAACGGTTTGTTGAGGGAGCGCAAACTTTCAAGTAGTCCTCAGTACGCGAAGCACGCCGTCAATATGCCTTCTTTTTGCACCCAGACATATCTTCCTGTGTCTTCAATCTATCGGTATCAGGGCACTTTGGCTCTGGGCGACATGTGGCGCTGTATCGGCTACCTCTTGCAGCTGGGAGGGACTAGTGAGGGCACGGTCGAATGGGACGACGCCTTCTTCCTCACACAGCGCATTCACCGCGCCTTCCAAGACAACGACGGAATTGTGGGGTTTGCTGCCTTAACTTGCGGCATATCGACATTATGCCAGTTGTCCGTGAAAGACAAGGTTGGTGCAAGTTCGGAAACATCTGTGCAACGTACTCCCTGTTGGTTCAGGTCCTTGCCCATCGTTTTGTTTTGGTTGGTTAGTGATTGTTACTCTTGGCTTCCTCACACTGATATTTTTGCGCCCGTCGACCGTCCCCCGGTGTGCAGATACTGGTGGCGTTCACATTGTTCGATACAGACGGAGACGGCCAGTTAACCTTCGAAGAACTTACCACGTGTATCGCGAGCGTGTTGAGAGTGGTCTGTGCTGTCGGGCAGGACGTGAAAGGTAACCACATACTTTTTTTTGAAGCACCAGAAGGTTGGCGGGTTTGTGCAGGATCTCATGGTGTCTGATATGATACAAGTAGCGGTTTGCATGCCACGGATCCCCATTGTGAGACTGTGTTCGGCGTCGAGTATTATTTAGCACCGGTATGGTAGTGATCCTTTTGAAACCGGTGCCCAAGCCTTCCAAAACCCTTGTATTCACTTTCTTTCGCAAATCGAACGTTCGTGTTGCCCAACTTTGACCCTTCGCCAATCAGGTATTGCCAATCCAGACCGGCTCGGAGCGGCGCTTGCTACTCAGTGTTTCAGACAAGCAACGGTTTCTATCGATGAAAAGCTCGGAATCGATGGTGAGTGAGCTAGTGAGCTAGTTGCCCGGAGATACACGCAGTCTTAGAGTGTGTCTCTCCCGTACAAGATCCAACGTATCAAACAAACTCCGTATCCAACGAGGTTGGCATGTTGGTGTCATCTCTCTCAGGTTTTTCCCTGCTTACGTTTGCCGCAGATTTCCGGCTCTTCCTGGGTGGATCGCCAAGAATATCTATCGATGCGCGCCGGTCGGGGGGTCTAGGTTAGTCCTGGCAGGTGCCCCCTCTTGTGATATTGACACATCTCTGAGGAGCTGAATGGCAAGGAGTCTGTCGCCACCAACACTAGTATAATGTGTTGGCAATGCTGTTAAGAGATTATCTCTTGGACTAGGCAGCGGTCTCAGAGAGGAAGACTTGCAAGGCTGGAATCTGTAAAGTTTCCAAATGCGTGTGTTTGTCGTAGATTTCGAAATGGGCGAAGACTTTCCCGAGACTGAGGTGCCTTCGCTTGCATTTCGTTTCTCGATCGTACGAGGTTGTAAATACCCGCAGTGTGCGTTGTCGACGTGGCCATTTTTCCAGACTTGGTGGTGTCGGGTTGCGGTGTCGCCTGCCTTTGATTGGTGTTGGAGAGGCGTTGATCGCCTCCCTACTATGCTACGAACGAATTAAGGAGGGAGCACCAGAGAGCAGCACCCGGCGAAATGCATATCGGGCGGTGAAAGGTTGTTGTACTGCTGTAAGGGCAGAGTATTGGTACGAGGCGCTGCAACCGTCCTTCGTTCGGTATGTTTCTACACGGCAAGCGGACGTCGTCCTCGGCACGCCCATGGACATTGAGCAACGAATCCTGTGAAATTCCGGTTCCGACCACCAAGGGGAGTCGATACTATTATAATACATAGCACGTTGTAGGCACGAAGGAGCGTCAGTGGAAAGATTGGTTGAGCAAAAAGATCCGTTCGATTGGGGCGACAACTTGTACGCGGACATGTAATCGAAGTACAAAGTAAAAATACTTCTAAACGCCACTACTAATTTTATTGTGTAGGCAGACCTGGTCACAACGTGTAGAGATTTTATTTTTGGCTCCGAAAGTGCGCCTCAAAACGCAGAAACGGGGGTGGGGGGCAATGACGGTGTCCGCGCCTTCCTTGCTGGTGCATGCACACAGATCACGAGAGAGACTAATTTCCTTTGTGATGTAATATCACGGGATATACAGCGTTGAGGGGGGGGCGATGTGAGAACATTGCCATGCTGCTCCTCATGAAGTCCACTAACAACTTAGTCGACACTTCGTAATCGATGTCGATGCCCCGCATGATGCCTATTTAGATGAATGTAGCGTTGACTGACTCCGTCCTGCACAAATACGAGATTTAATGCACATGATGATTAGTGGGTGACAGAGTCCTATAGCGGGCGGTGTCTTGAACTACATGTGAAGCCTACACGGGTGGCCAGAGGCAGGTTGTGCGTAGGTTGGGGCACCAACTACAACCTGGGGGGGGGGTTGTAGGGAGGCTGCAGCCCAAAGCGTGCAAGTTATCCCGCATCTTGGATAGTGGCGTTATTGCAATCAACACGGCGGGCTGCAAGCCTGAAGAAAAAATGGGTTCAACGTCGAACTCGTCCTCCCAACCTCCCCCCCCCAGGTTGTAGTTCGTGCCCAACCTGCCCCTCTGGCCACCAGTGTATACTTGTACATGGCCAAGTCTGCCACTCACTTATGTGTTTGTGTGTAGCGGTCTGTCTGGTCCATATTGTAAAGAGAACAGGGGCGAATATTGTTCCGTAATGTAACGAAGTACTACGAGTTAGTCTAGACTACCTATCTATCTATCTATTCACATTTTGGCTTACACTCCAGAGTACGTAGTCTACACGGGCGATCGACGGCGGTGATCGATATTGAAAAATGGATGGCGGCGTTTGTTTGTGTGTGTTCTGTTTTTCTTTCTTTTCATGCCATCATTTATGTCGGTCTTTACGTATTTCGGCACAACCTTCTGGACGCTTCAGCCGGGGTCACACAGGCACAAGATGCTTTTTTCCATCATCCACCACGTACGGAGGACGGCTTGCCTACAATTCGCGAGAGAATGATTATCAATCAATGTGGTGCGATAGAGGTTCCAAAATTTCAGAACATTATCTACTGCTGCTGCCCCTGCTGCTGCTCGACGAAAAATCCCAAAACGCGTACTTACAGTAGTATCACAGCAGCCTGTCGCTGTTGGTTACCCCGCAGAGGAGCATGGTGGCGCGGTCTGCATATTATATATCCCGTTCGTATATGTCCCGTTCGACTGTGGGTATATCTCGAATGGGTAGTCTTTCTGTGTGTGTATTTACTACCATTCCTTTATATATCCTACGCTGCTGCTGTCGATTGTGTCGGTTTCAGAGTCGTTTCGAAACCCATCGAATAATAATTTAGTCCTAGGTAGACTGCATAGAGCGCAATACACAATACTTCTCGCGCTGAAATCGCAGAGAGGAGAGACCTTGCTGTGGGATGCCGGATTCGAGATATTTCGTTTAGAGAGGTAAGGCAGCAGGGCAGACGTAGGCAAGGAGTAATGAGAGCAGTGTGCTCGTAATTCTGCATGTCTGGCCAATCGAATTTTCGAATTTTGGAATCTGTCGGGCCAGCCAGCAGCCGCTGCGAGGACCCGCCAGCCCCCAGAACCCGTCAGGTTGCACCGCCCGTTCTGATGTTCTGATGGTTGTTGTTGAGTTATGCTCTGCGTGCCCCCTCGCGATCAAGCTTTTCCCATTCATAGCACCGACACGCCTGCTTCTCTGTACCGACACACCGCGAACACGCTCCCCACTCCTTTCCCCTTCGCATCTGTCCAACCCCTTCATACATGGGACAAGTCACGGCAAAGACTACCCTGCTAGGAGCGCCATCCTCTTTCGTCTTCGGAGGGCTAGAACTCGAGCCGGGCTAGAAGTTTACGTGCAGAAGACCTTCGTGGCATCCCACTGCTCTGTACGTCATTCCCCTCGCCCCGCTGTACGACAACAACAACGTCTTCCGCAGCCTGCCTCGGGCTCGATCCTTGTGAGTTTCGATTAGATTCATCGACAAAATACGTTGGGGGTTAGTAAGGGTGTTGGCGTGAGGGAAAGGCTCTGGTGTAGTGTTGTGACCGCCATCAAAATATTGGAATTCTTTTGTTGAAGAGCGTGCGTCGTTTCCTCTGGCGATGTTTTGTGCTGCTGTTGTATACTGGGGTACTGGCATGGCTCTCAGGCTAGCTCACTAGTACTGCGAGGTATGTTATCATGGCAGAGTGCCACATCGCTTGAACAGCATACCAACTTTCATCTCCTGATGTCTCTCTCGTGCCGGCGAACAGGCACGTTCCGCAGACGAGATTGTAGAGTGAGCCGTGGCCGCTGCAGCAGCCGCAGTACTGCAGCCACCAGCGGCGAGCGGGTGTACCGAGTTGAGACGCGGTTGGCCTTTAGCTCAACACCACCACCGCGGGTTGTTCACTACGAAGGGGTAACTTCATCGCGTGTTCGTGGCAAACAGCGTGAAGCTGGCGCACTTCTCCCACAGTAGCAGCAGGGGTTGGGCGGGCTGCCTCATCTCCTGCAGCTTGCGGTTGGATGGTGAGCCGAGGGGCAGACAGCTCGGGGCCAGGGGGCGGGTCCAGCACAAGGTGAGACAGGTCAAAGTAGAGAGATGGCAAGCAGCCTCGACAAATACCAAGGACGTCAGGAGACGGACACAAGGTGTTGTACTTCAATTTTTGTATTGACGAAAATACAGAAATTCGTGGTGATTACCTAACCAGTGCTCGTCACCGTGATCATGATGCCAGAGTGAACCCACCACCCTTGCTTGGCCTGAACATACTGGTATGCACAACGCACAACATGCACATGCGATGTATGCGTTGTACAGAGAGTCTATAGTCGGAAGTTTACCTACTTACAGCAGGAGTGGATCGTCGTGGTTCATATGGGCGGTGGCACCTCGTTGCCACCACCACGATGTTTGCGAAAATCCCTTTGTAGGTGCGAAAACCTAAACCTCCGCACTGGTCCGAAGTACAAATAGAAGTATATCGTTTCGTTCCCATAGTTTTTTTATTACACCCCCGGTGCGATGCCCAGTACAACACAGCGACGTTCCTGATGCTCGAACACGAACGGTGTGGTAGCAGGCACGCCGCTACGATGACCCCGATAGGTGTGATGCTGATCTCATGCTCGAAGGGTCTTCTTTGATGCACCGAGACTGAACCGTAAATGGAGTAGATCGTACAATCGTGCCGTTCTTGCTGTATTTTGCGCACCCCGGTCCGATTTACTCCGATGGGTGCCCTGCTCATTCCTGATTGTAGTGTGGTCGTCTGAAAGCAGAGACAGGACAAGCGTACTTTCAAGTTTTTCGTGGCTTGCGCTGCTCGCGTTCTCATCTTTCAATGAATGGGCTTCAGATGATCATGACTGATGTGCCCATTCGCTGTGAGCAGGGCGCGAATCAGATCGCCATCTTGAAATCTAATTATAGTTTGAACAAGTAATTTTGACCGTAGTGGGTAGTTGTTTTTGTATTCCGGAAAACTGGAACATGTCGGGGTACAGACGGACATTCCGTCAGAGGTCCCGTCTCCCGCAGTCGTGATCAGTCTTCACGTCTTCACTGCCGGTAGTGGGCTGCCTTGGAATACTCTTCCCGTTGTGTTGGGACCTTGGCAAGCTGTAGTTGGCGGTGTCGAGGATTCACTCTTATCACGTGTGGTTGAGAACGAGCAATGAGGCGCCACTAACGTGACGAGCGATTGATATGCAATGGGTAGCGCCACGCGCTCAGCTCAGCGTATGCATTTTGAATGCGCATGCTGCTGTGCCCAGCACGGCTCCTCCAACTCTACAAAAGCTGCTGATATTGTGTGTACAGCAGTATGTTGAATCAGCCGTTCAGTTTTTCTGATCAAAAGCACAGCACACTCACGTTTGTCTATGGACTGAACCTATCAACGCCCACGCGGTGGTCTCCGTTTTTGGCTTGAGAGATTTTGATGTGTGGGCCAGTAATTTGCTGTTGTCCTCTGCAAGGCGAAAGCTACAACGCGCGCACTCTGTTCGCTTTTTCGGTCAATATTCCCCGCAAGAGCAAGCGTCTTGATGAAGCCGCCACCAAGCGACGTCTAAGGTTTTATCTGTGGTTGTATTTTCAGAATGTCGACGGTTCTCCATGGCCTCGAGCAGTTTTTGTGCAACGGCCATGGCTGACACTGAGCCAAGAGAAGTGGTGTTTTACCGTACCGAGAAGTCCCCTTCAGACACCTAGAGGGGCTTGGATACTTCCGCCAACGCGTTGCCAGTACTTTTTGAGTCCGTATGATGCCCATTGCCTGGAAGCAATGGTGACGTAACACCCATGCGTACTGTATCCATGATCGGGCTAAAGCCGTGTTGCAGTATCAGTAGTGTGGATCTTTGCTCTTGTCGCGACATGGGAGCATGGAGAGCAAGACGTCTTGTTGTTTTGAACACGGGGACGTTCTCCACGCCAGACCCAATGTAATCAATCTAATGGACCAAATCGTTTTATGCTTTCCCTCCTGCTAGGACCGCGCCAACCAACACTGCTCTAGGCCGGGTCGAAGCTGCTGCCACCATGTCTGCCCACCCGTCGTTGGTTGAGTGGAAGAAGCTGCGATTCGTCATCATGGACGCCCCAAAGGCGAACAACTTGCACTTATATATTAGAGAGCTCAAGAAGCAGAATGTGGTGTGCGTTGTGCGCGTCTGCGAGCCGACCTACCCTGCCTCCGAGGTCGAGGCCGCGGGCATTAAGGTAAGCGCGTTCTTTGCTTGTGGTTGCAGATGTGGACACGTAGCACTGCTACTACTGTAGACGGCAGTGCGCACATGTGCCCGACATTTTATGGTTTACGTCTGTTGGTCACCTTTTGTTAGCCGTTAACACTGCTGCTGCTAACTTGCGCGCGACTTGCTCCTGTCTCGCTCTCCCCGCGGTGTTGAGTATAGCTGCTGGAAATGGAGTACGACGATGGCGGTGCCCCTCCTGTTGAGATCATCAACAAATGGCTTGATGTGGTGCAGACCACGTTCCACAACGCTCCCGATAGCTCGGGGCCCAACGGGTCGGAAGGACCGACCATCGCCGTTCACTGTGTGGCGGGACTGGGGCGCGCACCGGTGCTGGTAGCCATCGCTCTCATCGAGTATGGAAAGGTACGCTTTTGTCGAGGGTTTGCGATACTACAGATCTGGGGGCATGGGATGCTGTTGACCTTTTATCTATCAAGTACCAGGACTGCTCGTGTACCCTCGTTAGCTGGGCTGGCGCACCCTTGTTCGCTGCAGACCGGTCCATATGAGGATGGATGGTGCTGGTTTGAAGTCCGCCTTGCAGCTCGGTTGTGTGTTTCGTTTAAGTGGTCGTATTACTTTTTGCATTGGCGGCATCATCGTTTGTCGGTTGGATCATCTGCGAGTTGTTCATGTCCCATTTGATCTTCTGGCGGCCAAGCGCCGATGCTGATAATCCCCACCGCAATCGTGTGTTCGCTACCGTTACCGTTTGTGACCAGGATCCAATCAAGGCGGTAGAATATATTCGCGACAGACGCCGCGGGGCCATCAACCGCAAGCAGTTGTCGTACTTGGACAGCTACGAGCGAAGGAGCAGTGGTAACGGCTGTTCTTCTTGCGTCGTTATGTGAACGAACGTGAACTGTTTGTTCCCTAGGGTGTCTGACACCAAGTTAGGACACCAGGGATCTGTGACCCTTGGGTTGTTGTGAAAGAAAGAATGAGTGATGGTGTGTATACCCCGCAGGAAGCGGGTTCGGAGTATCACCCGGCCGTCTGTACAATAGTAAGTGCGTTGTAGCCTTTGGTAACAAGAGATAGATGTGTTCTGTTTATTTGAACTAAAAACTATTATACTTCGAACGCGCCGAAAAAACAAACGTCACCACTTACAAATATCCCCCACGACACACATCCAAATACTTACAGCAGTGGCTTGCGTCCGCGCTATGGGTGCTCGCATAATTTGCTCTCCCCACCCCCAACAACGCAAGACGAAGCCAACACTATGTAACCTGTGGTTGAGCTCTCCGTTCTCTCTTTTTGACCTCCTGCGTCCGTGGGGGTGACACCTGAAAACCAAACCGGAAGACGAGGAGAGAAGCGAGAAACGAGAAGGCGAGCCAATCCACGAAGCCCTTGTTAGCACGTGGAACCGAGCTTGACCCACTCGGATGAGGCGTTTAATTAATGGAAGGGACCTTTTGGGCTTGGGCGAGCCTTACGAGAAAGGACGTGAACAAAGCAAACTACAGCATACATGACGGTCATCACCTGCTTTTGTCTGAGAGCGCCTCCCTGAGCTGAGCTCGTTTTGGTGCAGTGCAAATGAAGCCAGTTGAAAGTGAAGGGATACTGCTGAAACGACCTGACAACCCTAGAACGAATGTAAATGCCTTACAGCGCATCCTTCGAGAAAGTTCCGTAGTGTTTTTTTTTTTTTTGTCGTGACTTCAAATCAGCGCTCACAGCACTTGTGCGGTTTACTCCAACCCGTGGTCACACACAAGGGTTCCTCTCCCTGAGGCCTCCTACCCACCACTGCTGCGGTGCTTTGCCTTCGTTTTTTTTATGCGAGAAGAGTGCAGCACTCTCTTGCCTCTGTGTACATACGTACTAGCGCTGTTTCCCACCCAGGCCAGGAACGGAAGCGAGAGAAAAGCTCGCCTACGCCGGGATTCGAACCCCTGACCCTGACACTACAGCAGTAGGAGGTCGAGGAAGCCCACTAGACTACCGGGGCGACCGGCTACATCGTAGTATACGCAAAATATAGTGTGCGATGTGAAGAGAATGCCTTTGGATTCCTCAAGTGTGGGGGGGGGGGGGGCGAAGAACGAGAAAACACGCCGGGAGGTGAAAAGTCCTGGGGTGCTGAGACTTTCGCTGTTGTGCACGGATGCACACGGACAACATGGGCTGAAGACCAGGCAGGGCGGCCAAACAAGGCGAAAAAGTACACACCGGTGCACACGGTTATTATGTTATTATTATTATTGGGCTTGCTCATGAACGATTCTAACCTTCGCCCTACGTATATAACCCTTTGTTGTTTGAGGGCGTGATCATACTAATGACTATTCGGTACAGTAGCACTCTTCTCGAGAGAATTTAACGCTTGTGCGTACCTCGGTTCTTAAACGGAGGCGTTTCCCCCCTCGCGACGGATCTTCACCGGGCAGATCTGCTTGGGAGCTCACTCGGCGCACCCGGCCCGTGTCCAGCCGCTCCGACAGCTGCTCAATCTCGCGTTCAATCGTGTTGATCTGCAGACGCGTGAGTGCCACGAAAGCAAGGGCAAAACAATGAGCAGCAGATGAACCAACAGGAACATGGGACACAAAAAATCTCCCGTCGGTGTGCTGCTTTGCGCGTGCGTTCCAGTCATTTGGCACGTTGCATGCATGAGCTCACCCCGCTCGTTTTGCCGCTCAACATTGTCAAAGCAATCGCAAGCCCTTCAAACAGACTCACCGCGGGGTCCCAGCGATCCGTTTGCGACGAAGCTCCCGATCCGGAGTGCATTCTCCCCCCATCCCCAGCATAATACCCTTCGGGGCCTGCACTGCGGGTTCGGGTCATGTGCTTTCGGGTTCTGGAGTCTTCTTCACGGCGCCCAGGCCTGCCCACCGCCCGGGAATGGCTCCGAGGAGGCCGCTCTCGCCCTCCCTCCATGTCTAACCTCGTAGGACTTTGTTGCCACGGTGTCCCGTCGCCCCTCCCGGCCACAGGGTACATGTTACCATAGTCTATTTCCTCGGGTTCCGGTGGCGGGCTGCCCGCCGCACGGCCGTTGGTGATGCCGACAGGGTCGTGGCTTGACGGCCTGAGGAATCGTGTGATATACGACAGTAGTAACCGATGGGTGTGAACGACTGCGAGCTTTCGAATTCGGTCAACATTTACATTTTCGTGTTCATGGGATCCCTGAATGCCTTCAGTTCGTGACGTCAGCTGCACCCGTTGGTCGGAATTCAGTGTCAACAGTCGGGCGGGCGTTGATGAGGTTCTCCCGAGTCACTTGGTTGAATCCGTTGATGCAGGACTACGTCAGCGCATTTGACGAGTACACTGTTTGGGTTGTGATCGTTGCACCTGCGGCGGCCGAGCCTCCTTGACATGGGCGTGTTCTGCAACCGGACGCTGTCCAGAGTCAACCCGTTGTCTTCCAAGGCTTGCATGAGGGACATGTCAACCTGCCCAAGCTCCCTCGTCAACCCGGCGTTATGCGCCTGCAGCACCTTGAGAGCGCGCGCCTTGTCCTCTCCCTCCTTCTGCTCAATGCGAAAGTCGGCACACATGTACAGGCGGGTATTTTAATGCAACGGATGACAAAAGATGTAACGAGAGTATCGAGTTCGTCCGATGGCAAGCACAACGGAGTGGTCTTCGAAGAGGTCGTCTCTTAGATAACTACTACTGTACTACATAGTTTTGATGGCGTCAAGCCCGCGATTCGGGGAGTTGATTTTTCATTTTCTCAAAGCTCACACTGACTCGAGTGACTGAGTGAGTGGTACAGAGCACAACGAACAGACCTGTAACTCCTTGATGGCAGAGTCTTTGGCGGCCTCAAGGACATCAAGCTTGTTCACCGCCAACCACAGCGCCGCGCGCTCCCTTGCTGATTGCTGTAGTGCAGCAATGCATGGCAGATCGGGACGAGCAAAACGTGCAACGTTCAGGAGAGGTGGGTGGTACAGCGGTACGAATATTCCGGGCGGACCCTCCCACAGCTTGGTTGTTCTTCCTTTACGCGGTCGTCTCGCCATCTACTTCGTGTCTTCTTCTCACTACTGCTGTATGTCAGGAAGACGAGATAAGTCGCACACAAGTCGACAGAAAAAAAATACACTCATTTTCGATGACGAGTAGTATAGGCGGGACACTCTCGACGCCACTCAAGCAAACCGCCGCATGTGCAGTTACCCTATGCTTACCTTCATCTGTTCGTCGAAGTCGCTCCTCGCCTCACTCTTTTCCTTCTTGACGGCTTCAAGCTCGCACTTGATATCCTGACAACGTGTCGCCATAACCGTAGGATTCAAGGAACTGTGAGTTTGTGCGCGTTGCATGCCGGCACCGGCGAGAGCCCAAGTAGTACTTCTCTCTAACGCGTCCTCACCAAACTCCCACAAGAAGCGGCTACCAACAGTCAGTACCTCCGACGGGTCCGAACAACGATCATGGTCCTTGTCAAAACTCGCAAGGCACCCAGCGCAATGGACACGTAGTGGCGATACATGCATACGGCGCAGAAACTGTGATATGGCAACTCGGAATCTGGAGAACCAAAGAGGGCGCGCTCACGGCCGTGCAAACTTCGTACGTCGAGTGCCTTCCAAAACGAAACGAACGCTCTCTTCAGCAAAGGCAAACGAGCGCTAAAACGAGGAAATGACTAGGTACGTAGTGCGTGTTCCTGCCCAACCCTTTGTGTGCCGACCGACCTCGAGCTCCTTGACAGCTGCCTGCTTTCCGCTGATGGCCCTATCCCTCTCTTCTTCGAGCTGCGTCACCGTGCCTCGAATGTGCCCAGCTTGAGACTTGACTCCTTCCATCACCTGCTTCAACGTGTCTCCAAGCTGCTCCTCAGCCTGATCTTCCTTCTACAAAGATGGGGCAGGATGGGCGACGCCAAGTAAGACTGGGAGCGAAGCAGCACTGAAGCAGTACTACCATGCTGACTTTCCTAGAGCACAAGGACCAAACGGGTTCCTCGGCTGCACACGTACACTTGGGGGGTAGCCGAATAAATGAGTTTTTCGATCACGGTGCCGACGTCGCAGAACAGGGTCACTCCACATTGGACAGACTTTCAGCATTGCGTACGAACTACCACCAAACACTCCCAAACCAGACAGCAACAGCGCATTCTAGCGTGCGCGGTGCTCTCAACAGAAACCTCAATACAGCGGTTGTCCGCAACTAGGACTGCCATGACCCGGTCGATGATACGCGCGCCACGAAGATGTGAGCTCTACAAAATGCAGCGATGCCTCATAAAGTCAACAATCAACCACCTGGATACAACATGGTGCGCAGTCCAAGTCCAAACGTACCTCCTTGAGGCGATCGGCGAACTCCTTCGCCTCCTTCGCCCGCAGGTCAGTTTCACGAGCCAGGCGCTCCTTCAAGCCCCGTACTTGGTCCTCGAGGCCATCTCTCGCCAAGGCAGCCTCGCCCTCTGCGTCACACGCAACAGATAGCCCAAAACAGATGGTAGGGTCGGAGTTTTTTTTTTGCTGACAACGAATGATCCCAAGGCAGGATAAGATAGAGACAGGTAAGGGGAGCAGAACACAAGCAACACAGTTTCCCACCAATAAAGAACACATACCGCGCGTGTGGAAAGGGCATCGGTAACAGGCAGGTTTAGGTAGGTACCACGCACTAGCATCGAACATTGGCCTTGATTTTATGTTGTTTTGATCCCATTTGTTGACGCTACCGCCTTGCCTCCCACAGCCTAGAGCCCCAACCCGGGGTCATACACTGTACAGGAAATCTCTTTAGGGGTATCAACGAAATGCCTTCAATTTTTGACGCGAGAAGGCTTCTCACCTGGCCTTCCCCCAACTATATCAACAAACAAACGCGTTTCACGACTGCGACCCGCAAGAATGGCGGAAGAAAACCACATGTCGATGGGATTGGAACTCCCCGGCGCTACGTATATACATAGTTTGCGCGGCTACCACTACCCTAGGTCACCGTGGCGACCGGCATGTTGAAATTTTCCCAATGTACTCGGCCGATACCACGCGGGTGCAAAAAATTGTACCATACATTGTATCATACACACCTCGATTCTCGGCTTGTCTCTCTCGCTCTTGGAGGGACGCCTGACGCGCCTCTAGA